ATTGTCTGGCAGCACAGCAAGGTGCACCCAGTGTTCCTTTTTTGTGTGTGATTTGCTATTAATTGTTTATTTCAACTCTGTATTTTGATATCATGTGTTTTCTGCCAAAGAAAATAATAATAAAATAAAAAAACCAGACTCTTCAATTGTGTCTTCTCCTTGAAAGGATTGACTCCGCTCTGCAGCTCGATTAGGTGGCGTAGTTTCAGAGCATTCTTCTTTGACCTCACTGCAATGTCTCCTGAGAGCTGATGATGCTCCTTCCTCACCGAAGCTCCAGTAGCTTTTGGGAAGTCATTGAGGTAGTAATTTACCAGAGCAGCGAGGTGAGGTGTGGTAGTGACTAGTCGGTCCAGAGCGGCTTCATTTCTTGTGAGCCCAACCATGCCACCATTCCCCTTTAGTTTCTTGATTTCTTGCTCTAGAGCCTGATCAGTGAAGAGAAGAGAAAAGGGTATCTCTGACTTTGCCACCACAAAGTCTCCAGACTTGAGGGCATTCCATGTTTCTGGATCATCCTCTTCTAGGGCATTCATTTGAGCGAGATGGACTGGCATCAGGCGAGCATAGTTCAGGAGATCACGAGCAAAGAAGTACTTGGTGAGGTCTTCTAGTGATGACAAGTAGCCCTCCCAGTACCCTGATCGACATGAACTAATGAGATGTAGAAGACTCTCCACCTGGTTAAGATACTGAGTCAGGAACTGGGCAAACTTGCCAAGGTCTTCAGCTTCTTCAAGCGGTTTGACATTGCTTGAGTACCAGGATTGGATTTCTTCATAGATCTCCACCATCTCTGGGTCACGTCCATGAAGTTTTTCTTTGAGAGAATTGCACTGGATGCGAATTGGACCCTTGGGAAGATCCGATAGTATGGCATCAAAACGCAACATCATGATTGCAAGGCTTGCAGTAATGTGGAATTCACGGCCACGCTTATAAGCTTTACCACCAAAGATCCTGCGAAGAGATGCTGAGGTGTACGCACCACATTCGATAGCACACGTGTCAAGACCGCTACCGTCGATGGTTTTGCCAAGGGCATGTAAGGCAGCGAAAGCAATGTGGAGAGCTCCCGCTCTTAAGATCCAGTTGGCGTTTCCCACCGACTGCTGAATCTTCAACGCTCGGGAGTAAAGATCGAGATCTAGCGTTATCAATGTCTTTCTGTGAGGGCCAACAACAGTCGCAGATATTCCCTGGGATAACCGAAGAACAGTATAGAGGGTCCCATAATCAGTTGGCGATGTCTTGAATAATGGGGCAACCACCGATGTGTTTGTAGGCGTGCTAGCGGGAGAGGATTCAGACAACAATAAGGACCTAGTTGCAGCCCATGTTGGAAGAACATTCTTTGCTAGTTTATCTGATTTCTTCACCTGCTTTTTGATGATCACGACAGAGTCTGTTTCCTCTCTGTCCTTTGAAGACCCAGCTTCCCCCTTGTTGCTAGAAGGCTCAGTTTCCTCATCATTTGTAGACTCTGCATCATTTGGCATCTCTTCACTGCGCTGGGCTTCTTCATCGTGCAGCTGAGGTTCAGTTTGGATGATTTCTCCGTTGTCATCTGCTGTAAGGTAGTTCACAAGAGCCCAGGTATGAGTGAATTCTTGAGAAATGAGATTTTGTTTCCTCTTCTTGTAGGCCTGAAATCTCAGTGGGCTAGTTCTGATGACTGGCTCTGGAAGCACATTCATCTCAAATGCTAGAAGGTTTTGCGAAGAAAGTTTCTCGGTTATGACAAGTGGTTGATTCACTGGCTCTCCATCTACAGCCTGTTGGTTGATTACAACCACTGTCCCGTGAAAGGTTCCTTGCCCTGTGGATGTGTCTTCCAAGAGATCAATGTTGTCAATGGCAAACCAGATGTTCACACCCTTCTTGACAAAATCAGGAAGACAAAACCCCCAGCGTCCTTCATTCGCTGAAGAACTGACTGCTCAACTCTCTTTTCTAGATCAAGTATCTTGTGATAGTCACTTCCAATGTAGACTTCTGAAAGGTTTTGAACAAGGTTCTTGTCACGAACTCGAGAGTTTTCCCCAATTTCCTCATAATATTCCAGAATTACAACGCACATGGCTTATAAAGATCATGGCCTTCTAATTGTTTTATAAGGTCATTGGTGCGTGCGAAAGTGTACGAATCAGTAATAATAAATTTTATATCACCAAAATCGTCTGCTTTTCAACTTTGCTGCTCCCCATTGGTAATTCTTTTTATTTAATACACACTCTTACAGAGCACACCATCCACACAAAACCCAAGAGAGGGATACTGCTCCTTTGTTAATGACCGAAAATGCTTGAGCACATTTTTAAAATTTTAAAATCTAGATTTGCCATTGGCTATATGTTTATGCTTACCTTGGAAAATCAGGCAATATACTGCAAAATAGGGGTCTTTATTCTGTCAAACTTGCGAAGACCAAGGAACAAAACAATTTTTACCACAGAAGAGCTGGAAACAATGATCACAGAGCAGCATAATTATGTAGGAATGTGTGCGCGCTGTGTGCGCGCGAGCGCACTTGCCTGTGAATGTTTGGGTGTGTGTGAGTATGTGCGTGTGGGAGGAAGGGTGTGTGTGTGTGTGTGAACGTGCGTGTGTGTGTGTGTGTGTGTGTGGGGAGGTTGATGTGAATACATGAAGGTTGTCTGTATGTTTGTTTCTGTCTCTTTGTGTTTGGAAATGGGCTAGTAAATATATATATGATAATGGTAATAAAAGTACTACACCTTAAAACAGCTGGCCGAACAATGACAAAGGTACGCAATTTGGGCTGACGGGGTGGGGTATGGATGGGGATGGGTTGGTTGGAGGGTTTATCCAACTAAAAGTCTTCAAATTACCTTTCTCGCTGTAGAGGGATAATCACAGTTCTAGAAAACGACTCAAGTTTTGTGAAATCAGTCATTAGATGAATGACACACCCAATTTTAGGGGGTCTCATGATGGGAAACTACCCCCCCCCCCCCCCAGAGAGGGGTTGAGGGTCGGGAAAATTTGAACCCCATCAATTTCTGATAGCATGGACCCCAATCAATCCAAAAATGCCAAAAAATCAATTTTGGCACAAAAGTCCTACGGGAGCTGTTTCAGTGACATACCGTACCACACTATCAGGCCATATGCATGTGCTTCTTTGGTCTCAAATCATTTTAAAAGTTAGATTATGCCGCGTGCTTCTGTGCTTCATTTTTCAAAATAATGTCTATAGGCGTTCACAGCAGTGGCGGATCCAGCATGGGGGCATGGAGGGCACCGCACGGGACCCCACTCCTGGCAACAACAACAAAAATTTAAAACGAAGACGGTAACCACAATTTTACCTATAAAAAAATGAAGAAAAAAAAGACGAGCCCCCACCCCTGGCAAAAAATTATATTTAAACAAAGATAGTATCCACAATCTTACCTTCTTTTTGTTTTTGCTCAAGGGGGGGGGGGTTCAGTAAATAAAAATAGTGCTTACTACTGGCGCGGGTCCAGGATTCCTTAGGGGAGACCCAAATTTGAAATCAATTTTTAATTTAGCGTGGTGAAATTCGAAAATCGTGCCGGCCGATAAATTTTGCTCAGTAGGGGGGGGGGGGGGGGGGGGGGGTGGTAGTGAGCACTAAATTTTTATCTGTCTCCATTTAAAAAAACAAAAAATTAAAAACTTTTTTGGGGGGCGGGGGGCCTCCCCTGGATCCGCGCATGCACTACCCCCCCCCCCCCCCGTTGAGCAAAAAAGAAATAACAATTTATTGCTCATTAACCCCCCCCCTATTGCTTTTTCGCCGGCTAATTCGGCGCTAACTATTTTCTTAAATTGCCCCCCCCCCCTCCCCCACCCTCGCCGCCGGCTAGATCCGCCCCTGTTTCGCAGAACCTTGTTACGACCCCGGGGAAAACTTTTAGTTATTTTGAACAGCCAACTAACTTCTTGTTTCATTATATCTAATTTCTCTCTGCTCACTTGTCCTCTACACAATTTCACACGCGTAATGAGCACATTATGGTGTTTATATTGAATAGCGAATGAAAACTCAAAGGTTACTACATCCAAATGCAGGAACGAACACACGAGTGCTTTGAAACTTTTGTCACAAGCGCTATATAAATTTTTCATATTATTATTACGATGAGACTTTAATAAAGAAGATAACGTCCCGATCGGTTTTTTATCACTGAGAAAGGTTTCCTTAAACAAGGGATACGAATGAATTTAAGATTTTATTCATCATAACAAAGAGAATATCATACATTTTGTTTGTGATAAAATTTCCTTTATAGCTTGAGTTGATATTCACACCTTTTATCTTCAACAGCCTAATAGTTAGTATTCATAAGAGAACAATTGTTTATGGAATGAGATAACCCACACATAATGACTTTTGACCCGCATCCATTGCTTCGGCCCAAACTTGGTTCAAAAAGGATTTTGAAAAAACTTTATAAAAAGCCTGCTGCTCAATCATCCATGGCAGTACAATTATGAATATAAAATCATTAGACAGGATATCAGTTTATATGTTATAAATTTTTAAGTAGAGGTTACTAAAGTTGGGCACACTTTTTTTTATACGCATTGTATATATAAATAATCTTATCTATCTCTCTCTCTCTCTCTCTCTCTCTCTCTCTCCCTCTTTCTCTCACACTCATATCTCTCTCCATCTCACTCTCATATTCTCTTTGTCTCTCTGTCTCTTTGTCTCTCCCTCTCGCTCTCTCTATCTCTACATATCTCTATTTCTTTTGTCTCTTCATCTCTCTCTACCCTTTCTATCTATCTCACCTCTCCCTCTCTCTTTCTTTCTCTCTCTCTCTCTTTTATTTCTCTCTATCTCATTTCTCTCTCTCTCTCTCTCTCTCTCTCTATATATATATATATATATATATATATCCCTCTCTATCCCTCTCTCTCTCTCTCTCTCTATCTCTATATACATTGTATTCCTTTTCCCTTCATTTCGTCTTCCTCATTGATTCAATAACAATGATCAATTCATCTGCGTCAGGAAAATATTCGGGGCTTTATTATTGCACATTACCTTCGTATGAGTTCAGCTACATCTTTATTTTACAATTTTTTAGTATTCAGTATGAAATTGTATTTTAACAATTCGTCAGTATTTTCAAGCACCTTACACTGGCTTTCAGTCTGTTGTAAATGAATTTGTAGAAACACAGTGTTGTCTTTGATACGGTTATGACGCGTTAATAAAACATTCTCTCCAGTGAAAGCTATTGGTGAAGTATATATATATTTATATTATATCTTAACAAAAGCAATATTTCCCTTCATTTCGTCTTCCTCATTGATTCAATAACAATGATCAATTCATCTGCGTGAGGGAAATATTCGGGGCTTTATTATTGCACATTACCTTCGTATGAGTTCAGCTACATGTTTATTTTACAATTTTTTAGTATTCAGTATGAAATTGTATATTTAAAATTCGTCAGTATTTTCAAGCACCTTTCACTGGCTTTTAGTCTGTTGTAAATGAATTTGTAGAAACACAGTGTTGTCTTTGGTACGGTTATGACGCGTTAATAAAAACATTCTGTCCAGTGAAAGCTATTGGTGAAGTATATATATATATATATATTTATATTATATCTTAACAAAAGCAATATTTGTTTTCTTCTTTTTTTAATACAAATTCTACACCTCGGCGACCACATTGGTGTCTACTTCATTGATTGCGATCTCGATCACTTTAAGTGGTGAAGATGTCGTTACGCTTTCCGTCGTTGGATGCTCCTTCTCCTCACTTTCATTCTCACCCCAACGTCCGCGGTTACCATGGGGATGAGGGTGGCCATCACGCCTGGGAGATCCTTCTTCGGTTCCGTTGCGTCTGTCGAAGGGACGGTCTCCGAAAGGCTTTCTACCGAAGGGGTTGACCCAGAAGGGCCTCGTCTCAAACATTGGTCTGTCCTGATCTCCATCTCCGGTCTTGCTGTGATGACGGTGGGGGTGATCTCCCGTCTCATTATGACCCTGGTGACCTTCTGTGTGGTTGCGTCTGCCGAAGGGATGGTCTCCGAAAGGCTTTCTACCCAAGGGGTTGAACCGGAAGGGCCTCATCTCAAACATCGGTCTGTCATGATCTTGGTGGCCTTCTCTGTGGTCATGCTGATGATGATGGTGTTCGTGGTGGCCATGGTGGCCGTGGTGGCCGGTGTCCTGATCTCCATCTACGTTTTTGCTGTGATGACGGTGGGGGTGATCTCCCGTCTCATTATGACCCTGGTGACCTTCTGTGTGATTGCGTCTGCCGAAGGGATGGTCTCCGAAAGGCTTTCTACCCAAGGGGTTGAACCGGAAGGGCCTCATCTCAAACATCGGTCTGTCATGATCTTGGTGGCCTTCTGTGTGGTTATGATGTTGATGATGGTGTTCGTGGTGGCCATGGTGGCCATGGTGGGCGTGGTGGCGATCGTGGTGACGGTGATGACGGCCATCCTCCTCGCTGCTGTCGTTGCGCGGTTCCTGTTCTGGGTTAAAAGGAGGAGGATTGCCGAAGAAAGGTCTTCCTGCACCTTGATGATGACCATAATGACCATGTCCAGGACCATCAAACCGACCAGGCCCAATTTGTCGGGCAGCATCAGTTTCTTCTTCTCCATCACCACGCCTACCTCCTTCGCCGAAGAAAGGTCTCCCTCCAGCACCATCTGGTCTGGAGCCACCAAATCGAGGTCCGTCGAATCTCCTACCACCCATCGGACCGCCATTTTGCCTAGGTCCACCCATTTGCGGGGCACCAAATCCAGGTCCATCGAACCTTCTTCCACCCATTGGTCCACCATCTTGCCTTGGTCCACCCATCGGCGGGGCACCAAATCCAGGTCCATCGAACCTTCTGCCACCCATTGGTCCACCATTTTGCCTAGGTCCACCCATCTGCGGGGCACCAAATCTAGGTCCGTCGAATCTCCTACCACCCATCGGACCGCCATCTTGCCTAGGTCCACCCATCTGCATTCCATCAGGCCTTCCTCCAAAGCGATCTTGTCCTCTCTCTCTGCCATTCTCCTTTCCTCGTCGTTCATTGAAATCGCTTTGTGCGTGAGCTGTAAGGGGTAATGAAAAATCGAGTTAATTAAGTAATCACATTCTGCATTTTTATATTTGGCTCTACATTGGTTTTTTGCAGGTGACAAATAAGAATGGTAACTCGCCTTCTTTGATGTCTGTTCCTGTTCAGTTTAACCCTATCAGAATACATGCGGTTGGATATTCAAAACGCCTAATTCCAACCGAAATGAATTTGAAAACCAGATGGTAAAGAAACATAAAACGTGTTTTTCATTCGAATAAACGGAATGCTGAAGCCCACAGAAGAAATATTTTGTGTATTGTGTAACAAACAGGTAAGAAACACATATTATGATAAATGAAATAATAATATACTCCTGTGAGCCTTTTGTTGGCTTAATATTTGCCACTTATCAAGTAATACCAAGTAATAATTTGATTTCTTACCCGAGATAGCAAGAGCAGCCACAATGGCAACGATCAGTGTCACTTTCACCTCCATGTTAGTAATAGGTCTCTCCGATGCTATAGCTTTCTATAGGTTCGTAGCCTTCTATAAGAGAACGAGCTCCAAACTGAATAACTATCTGCTGGATCACTGAATTTATAGGCTTTCTATCATAGATTGAAATCACTTTCGTACCAGACCGTGTCAGGAATTACCAGGGATACCCTGTTCTATAGTTGATCATTGTTTTTAATGTGTTGTTGCTGTTTTTTCAATGTTGCTGTTTTTGCAATGTTGCTGTTTTTGTCAAAGTGTTTGACCTTTATCCTACTTAGACTTATAAATCATGTTTTGTTTTGGAGAGAGTGTTGTACCAAGACGTATAACAATTTACATCCTCTTCGGATATCCGGTAGAGCCAGGTATTGGGTGACACCGATGTCGCGGCGTAGTAGTCATCCTTCAAATTTGGGAGGATGCAACGTTCATCGGTTTCTCTCTCTCTCTCTCTCTTTCTCTGTCTATCTGTCTATCTCTCTATGATACACTAATAACATTATCTTGATCAGATAATGATCATGATCAAAAACATGATAATCATCACCATCCTCATCATCATTATCTTAACCATTGTATTTTTTTTTAATGATTTCATAACTCGAAGCTTGAGGACTTTCATAACACATCGTTGCATTTTTATTTTTGTAAACATAATTGTGAACAAAGAGAACAAATTGGAAAGTTACAAATGTTTTGATATGGTGTAGCAAATCTTGATCTAGGCAAAGGTCAGATTACTCTTTCTATTTCGGAAATGAAAATGAATTCAGGTTGTCTATTGAATCAGCCAATAGTTCGTTTCAATTCAAACCAGTAATATGTAAAATGATTGCATAATTATACTCACATCATGAAAATTAGATCTAACTGTATGTCAATAGATCTAACGTAATTACTTTCCAACAATTTTTGTTAATCTGTTTGACTACAAAGTTTCTTTGTAAAAACGATAATTTTGGTCTCGTTTACAGTGCGGAAGTTATTATTCTGAAGAAAAAAAAATATTAATTGAAGGTTCGTGATAAAGCAACGGATGGGTTAAATGAGCCTTTGGAAAACCGAAAAAAAATCAAAAATACTATGTGAATGGACGGTATTTCTAAATCTAGCAAGAGCCTATAGCACTTGCCTTTTCCTAGGCTAATTGCCTATACCTTGAGCTAATCCAAGGAACCAAAAGAGATGAAGCAAAAGTTTGTGGTATTTCTGGAAATGGCTTCTCGACACTAGAAATCAGTTAAGTGGAAATGGGGAGGCACGGGACACGTCCCCCGCCCTACCCAGTGCAAACAACTCAAATAAAGACGTAAACGTATTTAGATTGAAAAGGAGTGGGAGTACGGGTAGAGGACAAGCGAGGAAACTACCTGACCCTCCCACAACCTCCACTGATCGGTTGCCTTGGCTTTTGGTATTTCATTTGCCGAATAAGACCCCCCCCCCCCATACCCCTCTCCCCCATGAAGCCAGTGCCCCATCAATGGTTGGATCGACCCGTCCTACGCCACCTTTCAATGCCCTTAGCAAAAGGTTAAATTTATAATTCACAATTTACAAACAATAAAAGGCAAAGTCTCTGTTCTTGTACATAAAGCCTTGTCTGATCACTGAATCTTAACTTGAAGAGGAGTCAATAACAAATATTAGTTTAATTATTACGAGGTCTTCTCAGATAATGTCTAGCACTGATTTAAATTATCTGTGTTCTTATGAAAGAAAAAGATAATCATTTTATACTAAATTGCCGGTCAGGAAGAGTACAATACTAAATATTAAACTATGTAAAGCCTAGTATATGGAAGACATATTTTGTTAAACTTCCTAATGGTAATCAAGTAATAAACAGAATGAAATCATATTCTACTTGCAGCACAATATAATCATTAAGTACTTCTACAATCTAAGTATATGCTATATGTCTATGCCAGTATAATTGAAATAGTATCTACATTATTCAACATTTACAAAAAGTATAGACAAATCTGACATCCAGAGCATTTCGGCCGGGGTAACGTTTCGTCAGAGAACACGAAGCCTTGATATCATCTTGAGGGGGTCTAACACCCAGTGGCGGATCCAGGGGGCGGGGGGCTCGGCCCCCCCCCCCTTGGGAAATAAAGTGTAAAAACACGTGATTTTTAGCTTTTTTGTGGGGGGGGGGGGTGCAAATTTTCTAATTTTTGAGGGCCCCCCCCAAAAAAAAAAATGTGCTCAGTACCATACCCCCCCCCCCCCCCCCCCCCCCCCCCCCCACTGAGCGACTTTTCGGCCGGCGCGATTTTCAAGTTTCGGGAGCAAAAAAAAACAAACAAAAAAATTGCCCCCCCCCCCCCGAGAAATCCTGAATCCGCGCCTGCTAACACCCCCCTTCATGATGGAAGATTTTGTTGGTAAAGGAAAGGCATAATCATTTCTGAAGGGGAAGAAAATGGCCGATGGGCAGAAGGAGGTAATTGATCCAGGGCTCATCCTGACGGAAAGTATTTGTTTTCCTTCAGTTTATTATTCTTTGTATAATAAACCCTATTTAGCAAGCTATAGGTTGTAATCGATCTGAATTTTGTGTCTTTTTCGTGGTATGATGGATTAAACATGACAGTTATGCTGAACTGATAACTGTCAACGTTTAGATGGTCTAAAAGTAACTTTAAGAGGCCAAATACATACGGATTTGTTAGGGACACTATTTTGGAAGAGGCTCACATGCAGACTAGCACGGGATATTAGGGACTTTCAGATTCGCACGAAGACAATAGGTCCACGCTACGATCGACGTCCTTTTAATGCACTGCCTTGAATGGACGTCACGCGTATCAGTCCACGCAAATCTAAAAGTCCCTATTCATTATCTGGCCGACATATTGGAAGGGGGCGCTGTGACAGAATAACGACTTTGAACATGTTGAGCTACGTTGGAGATAATATATCTAATTGCAATTAAGTTGCCCTCATCACATCAAACTCGTTCTCACTACGTTCTGGAAACGTCTTAGAAAACCGTAGAACGGATTATGGTCGGGGTAGAATTTGTAAATAATTTCTATAATACGATCCTACTTCGTTCATAAACAGTCCTCAATACGTCCATCTCGTCTGTATCCCGTCCACAGTCAGTTCATATCAAGTTCAGATCGGGTAAATTTGCCATTTCCAAGCAGTCCAAGCCCGTCCGCAGTCAGTAAACCCGTTCTTAACTAGTTCTACCTCGTTCCCAATACGTCCAAACCCATTCCGACTAGTTCGCAGCTTGTTCTAACTAGTTTTTAACCCGACCATTCTGTTCAAAGACATTTCAACTCGTCTTCATCTCGTTCTTAGCGCGTTCGAACGCGCTCCTATAGTGCGTGTGCAATCCCGCCCTGCATGGTCCGAGGCTATAAAAACTCAGCGCGTTCTTGTCATTCCTGATTCCTGTTCAACGCTTCATGCTAATAAGATCACGACATTCGAGTTGGGTATGTTTGCTAACGGAAGGAACAAGCAAATTGACCCGGTCGCACTGGTAATTGATGCTCGACGTTTTAACACGTTCCTAGAAGGATGGAAAAACGGCAATTCCGTTCGTAGTACGTCCATCTTGTTTTAAGTACCAGGGGCGGATCTAGCTTTTTGCTAAGGGGGGGGTTGACCAAAATAATGACGATGCGGAGCATCGTCCACGAGCCGCGAAGCGGCGAGCCGATTTTTTTTGGGGTGTTTATTTGAACCCCGTAAGTGATGTTTTCCTGGCATCTATTAACACAATGGAGACCATAAAAAGCAGTGCATGATAACGTCTTTTTAAATCAAGTAACAGTTAAATACACAGTTATATCCAGAGTTATCATGTGTTTGGTTAAGTTACCTGATGAGTTGAACATCTTCTCACAATATTTGCACTTGAAAGGGTTTCTCTCCAGCGTGCGTTCTTTTTTTTTCTTTTTTTTCTTTCTTTTTTTCTTTTTTTTCCTTTTTTTTTTTTTTTTTTTTTTTTTGGGCCGCCCAAGGGGGGGGGTTGCAACCCCCCCAACCCCCCCCCCCCTGGATCCGCCACTGAGTACGTTGTTACTCCGTCTAATTGCTGGACGGGGACAATCGAAGTTCTAGACCGCCCTTCCCGTCCAAGCCAGTCCGAGCCCATCCATGAAGTTCTTTAAAAGATCCTAAACAGTTGCTATATTATACGTTCAGTCCGTTCGCCCACAGTTTGAACCAGTTTGGCAACATTTTCCGTAGTGAGAACTAGTCTGGTGTGATTGAGGCTTTATTGGAGTTGAGGTATGAACGGCAACATTAAAAGAGTGTGAGAAAGAGAGAGAGAGAAAGAAAAGAAAACTGCCGTGCGAAACATCACCACTCCGTATACTGCACCATGCGGTTCCGTAGACCAGCGCAAGTAGCCCATGCAATGCTAGCAATGCAAGAAGCCCTTGCAAGGTTTGCAAAGAAGTACAACGTACGACAGCATCTGTCACCCCCTTCGTAAAAAAAAAACATAGCCACATAGTCATATCAAAGAGAAACCACAAATCTCTTTGGTCATATCGATTGCATGTTGTGCCTGCCTTTAACAAATCGAAAGAAATCGAAAGAAAAAAAGGAAGAAAATACCAACTTTGGAAAGAAAGAATAGGAGAAAATAAAAAAAAATATCACAGGCTGAAGCACATGTCTCCCGCCACCTATTAGATAAGCCTGGGGAAAAACGAAGAAACACAATGCGTAACATTTATAATTTGCCGACGAAATATAAATTATGAATTTATGAGATATTCTTGTGTTTCGTGTAACTTAATCTTCTCTTTTGGGCAGGCCCGTTTGGCAGACAATTATCAATGCGATATACAATACAACTTAATATTTACCCTAGCCATTCTACTCCCTAGACTGATATAATAGCCTACGTCATTCAAAATGTTTAGTGCTTTGGCCAATCAACATGCGGCGTTCAAGTCATGCTTGGGTGCACATGCCGTACCTTAACAATTCTTCTGTCTCTACGTCACCTTCTTGCTCAGCTCGAACAAGCGAAGATTTCCAACGACGAATAGTCAGATCGCAATCTAGTCTAGTGTATTATTGCGCAAAGGAAAATACGCCCAAAATCGCTACACGATAATAACGTTAGACTGTAACTGTTTCTTGAATTCTTCAGAGGCAATAATTTTGCCTCTTTCTTGCATGAGATGTCTTTAGAGGATTGAAAGCTATATATCAGAGTAATGATGAGGGTGAAATTTGAAAATGGATCACGTCTTGTGATTTTCAATCGCATGGTCTTCTTTGCTGTGGTGGTGATTTCCCTATCGGAACAGAGTAAGTTAGTATTTTATTATTGATTTAAAGTATTTCAGAACATAACAACATGTTCACTGGTTATGTAAATGTGTTACAATTTATATTATTCTTATTAACATGATTATTCATTAATTATTTATGATTTTTTTGTTTGTTAAAGAACTTTGAACTGATATATCTTTTATACTTTTTTGTGTGGTCTTGTGAGATGCATGCTTTTGTATGTGAAGTTTGGAAATTTACAAAAGTATCGGAAATTGAATCATAAATTGATCATAGTAGTCGTGTTAACGTTATAACCCTTCCTAGAACTGAATTTTAGAAATGACTATGATGATTATTATTATTATTTTATTGTTCATTAATACAAATTAACAAAATATGTTTTCCTTTTTCATGAACGTATCTGGAACATATTGTTTAATTAGTGAATAATTAACTGATACACACTTTTGATGATGATGATGATGATGTTTCGCAGCATTTATTTGACGCCATGTTTCAGTTAGAAGCATTCAGTGAACTACATAAAAGTGCAGAGCGACATATATTACACTTTATACATCATAATTGTATTTCTATAATTCCGCATTCTTATTGTATGAGAAAGAAAAAAAGTTTCTTCAAGAACAGCCTTCATATAAAGCACCCACAGTTTGCGGTTCGCAAATATAATATTCTGCTACGCCCATAACCGATACAATAGACTCGAAGGCGCATATTTCAATTAAACGTGTGATATGAACAGATGAATAACAATACAACTCCGCCGTTTCCTTGTTTATACAACAAGCAAGATGAAGTTGACACAGTTTCAGAGTTATGTCGCTTTTGAAGGGTGTGATTCGTTCCTTCGTGTTCCATTTTCTTACAAGTGAAAAAGAGAAGGTGAAGGATGTAAAATATAAGGAGAAAGGTAAAGGGACGGAGGGAGGGAGTTGGAAAGAGAGAGAGAGAGAGAGAGAGAGAGAGAGAGGAGGAGAGATAGTAGAGGAGGGAATGTGTGTGTGTGGATGTGTTTGAGTGTGTGTTTGGGAGAGAGAGAGAGAGAGAGAGAGAGAGAGAAAGAGAGAGTTTCATACACATTTTGAGACAGAAAAGTACATTACCAGATAATAATCCGATATACCTATATGTAGGGGTTGATAGCAACATGCAAGTGAAATAGGGGTTCATACACATTCAAATGAAGAATTAGACGCATTTATTGGGACATGGGGGAATAGAAATTATTTCTCACAATTATGATAAAGTCTTGCACGATTGCAATCTTACATCGAAGGACAAGTTGGGAACGAAAAAGGGAGACAGGGAGACTGCATAACAGAAGAAAAGAAAAAAGGAGGAAGAACAAATAGTAAAGAATAGTGAAGGCAAAGTACTCGTTGCCCTATATAAATAAATTTCCCATTGTCTATTTTTAAAGACATATTTTCTGCTCCAGTAGTCCTTTTCAGCAACTAACCTCCTTCGATACACTTTGGGTCCCTTATTTTTTTTTTACCACGACCTCATGAAGAAAATGGTAGAAAACTTGTGTCATATTTGTTATATCCACACAAATTGCGAACCGTCACTTCACATCATAGCTTTTTGTGAAACCGGTTTTTATAACAAGCAGTTATAAATAATGTATGTTAAAGCTTTATGGTTTAGTGGCTTGAACTAAAACAATAGTTGATAAGTATTGAATGTATGAAAATAGCTTTAAATGTTTCTAAAAATGTTGATTAATCTCAAAAATGAATTCATCTCGGTTTTGTTTACATTAGAACTTTGTTAATTCAATCATTCATTATCTCAATTGTTCTATATATATATATATATATAGGCTTACACCGAATTATTTACGCTATCTAGTCGAAAGCATTGGCGGCACCGGATTTGGAAAATTAATGAGGGAGCAAACTGAAGATAAGATGACAAAAAGAAGAAACAATCTTTAAAACAAATTGGGTACTCGTCCAATGAGCGCAAATATGATAATGTAATGAGTTTCCGAATTAATAACAGAAATTAATATTTCTTTAGTAGCCATCCAAATGCCAACAGTGGAGGTAATATTTTAAAGATAAAGCCGTCGAGGGTATTTACACAGTTCAACTAGGAAATAATTCTCATTGTCGACGTTAACAATCAGACTGTGATGCCGTTACTAATAGCACCCATTAAAGGTACTATGTCCCATTTGCAGGCCAAAAAAATGAAAAGGTTGGATTCCAACGGCATTTGAAAGACAATACTAATTTAGAACTTCACTATAGAGGGGGAGGCTTAAAAATATCTTCAAGTGGGAAAATAACGACTATTAGTTGTCAAATCGACTTAGGAGCTATAGAGCCAATCAGTAATAGTCTTGATTTTCAGACCATTGTACCGAATGGTCGTATGTCTTATGCTGCACAAAGATTCAATCAGTTTAAAGAAAAACTCCAGTACTGGTAAAAAAAAATAAAAAAATAAAAAAAATTCTCACAGAATCAAACGAAACTTACACGGAATGTTCAAGATTTCAAATAAATGACATGTACCAAACAATTTTGGAAGAAAATGTATACTGGCTGAGTAATGAGCATAGAAAGACAAGGAAATCAATGAAGTACTAGCCCCGACACCATGTGTGTTGTCCCATATATAGCTTTCTATGTGAGTGCTTGTTACTTTACCAAGACTCGGTCAAATTTATTATGATTTTGATGACTCCAGAACCTTGCAGTGCACACCAATACTTACATGCTACATGATCAACTGTTTCTGATTCTTTCCACACCTTTTCTTTCAAAATGCAATCGCATTACCAGTACTAAAGTTTATCTTTAATTTTGGCCATTACAAGATGTGGGATATATGTAGACAAATGCTCATGTCCCCTTTACAGCTCATTTTATGTTTGTTATTACCAAAGATGAAAAAAGCCAGTCAGTCACTCAATAGTGTCCGACAGTGAAGTCTAGCAAGTAAACGTGTTTCCTTGCATAATTTGAATACTAGGATACTGCTAACGTTTACATTTTACAGATAGGACATACATGACATATTCCTAATTCCTGCAAAGTTCTACAGAATTTGATGTTGGCTGCAAAAGGGACATAGTATCTTTAAAGGCCCATTTTTAAATGAAAATGGCGTTCAAAATTCTTTTGTTGTGAAAATACAGGTGCTCTAATAGAATTCGAGAATGAAAATGGAATATGAGTGGGTGGCCATTCAATCACAGATATATGCCGATGACACTGTTCTGTTATCTGAATCATAGAAAGATCTCCAGAGACTATTAGATGTAGTTGTAAAGGAGAAAGGAGATAGAGAATGGGACTAGAGATCAATTACTATAAGTCTCCAAGAAGAGTCCAGAATGTAACTTGAAACTTTAGGAACAGGTTATTAAACAAGTCTTCTCTTTTAACTACCTGGGCAGCATGGTCAGCGAGGATGCCAGATGTGAGACAGAGATCAAATCAAGGATAGCTCTCGCTAAATCTGCATTTTCAAAGTTAGGCAAAATTCTGGCAAATCGAAAAATGGGTATGAGGACCAGAATAACAGTATTGAGTTGTTACATCTATCCAGTACGTATGTGTGGTAGTGAAACATGGACTTTAGCCTCATACTCAAAAGCGTTTGGAAAGTTGCCAAATGTGGTTTTAAGAAGAATGGTGAAAATCCCTTGTACTGACAAAGTTAGTAATGAGAAAGTTAGAAGAGCTGGAGTACAAAGGAAAATGATACATGAGATGTTGATTAGGCAGTTGAAGTTCATGGGTCACATTACACGTAAAGAAAGCCTGGAGAATCTTGCTTTGACAGGGAATACTGCGGGAGGATATTTTGGATGGACAGTCTGCAGAAATTGTTAGAAGAGAGAGATAGTGAAAGAAATGTGAGTGTTGCTAATAGAGAAGGCTAGGAGCCGAGGGTTGTGGAACAGCATGTTCGCCAAAGTCAATTGATATGGCACTTAGAGAGAGAGAGAGAGAGAGAGAGAGAGAGAGAGAGAAAGAGAGTGAGAGAGTAAGAGAGAGATAGAGAGAGAGAGAGAGAGAGAGGTGCTCAACGCACAAGAGAAAAGTTAGGCAACAGTGTGAACAACAGGGTGTTCATATGGGTTACGGTAACTCTTCTAAAAAGAGATTTTGGTATTCAATAGATAATATAAATTGATCTAATTAATCATTATTAAAGTATTTTAACCTCCTTTGCACTTATCTAGCTTTGGCCCAGCAGGTATGTCAAGACCAAATCGTCCAGGCAGCTGATTGGTCCACTAACGTCACAGTTCGTTACAACACCGACGTCACTTCTCCTGAAAATGTCACCTACGAACCCGTGGACAATTCCAATTTCCCCGTGGGGATGTACCCCATCACGGCGACACTCGATGGTGCTACTAATTGCACCTTTACTCTCATCGTTCTAGGTTAGTTGAATTCTATTTCGGCTTAAATCTGACACTTCAAAAGAATCCTGTTATCCTGCATTACACGATCGCAAAAACTTTCAAGAAATAAACTCCAGGGCAATTCCAATACCCTATTGTTTTTCTGATAGAAATCATGTTCAGAGTATGTAACTTTTAAGGCAATGTGACGTCCTTTTAAGGCACTGGCAGTGACGTCACATTGCCTTAACAGGGCAGTCCGCGTTCACGTCGTGCAGAATCTAAAAGTCCCTACTACCTCTCTGTCATGTCCGCACATTTAGTGGCTGACTCACAAGGCTATTGGAATTTGTCTTAGGTTGGTTTTTCTAAAGTCTTTCGGATCGGTTCGAAGAAAAGAGGTGATGGCTTATTAATATAATATATATATATTTCATTCAGTTTGGACCTGAAAGAGTCGCTGCAGGTGCTGCAGAAGGTACTGAATTTAGGAGTTAAAGGTCAGCTCAAAATATGTGACTACTTTGTGTGGAAGGACAGCCCTCAGCTCACCCAGTGAAAAATCAGCTATTAGCTAGATGCTTGGGTGGAGAATACGTATACATTGCAAACATTCAATTTACAAATGCTTCGTTTTTACTCTGATTCTTACCTACATCCTCTTCAATTCGCCTTCCCTTCTATCAACTTTTATTTAATTCCTTTTCTTTTGTCTCCTTCTTCAATTTTTCACCCTGTATTTCACCAGTTATCAGTATCTCTCCCCATTTTACTTCTTAAGTTTGTCATTTGAAATTAATTTCTTGCATATTGTAACTGGTAAATATTTTTTATTTTGCGGCAGGTTCTACAATTATGATCGTCTGTTATATATATTCTGTATATTACTTTTGTATACATTGTTTTTATCCAAAGCCCTCAGGGAAAGCATTTTTTGTCAACTGAAGAGGCGACCGTGTATACATATAACTGAAAACGAATAGAAATGAATAAATGAAAAAGCAATATAAGTATATCCATGCAGAACTGGTGCCACAGTATTACATTCCACTTGTGAGTTTCCCAGCTAGATCATTTGTGTCTTTGTGAAATCCGTTATCTTCATCAAATTACCACCCCAATGGAAGGTTGTCTATAGCAAGGAATGGCAAGCCGTGGAGAGAGAGAACATTCTCTTTACTAAGAAATCAAATAGAAGTAGACTCAAGACTTCTAGAACAAGCTCACGCTTTCTCACACTGTTCAGTAGTTCTTTCTTCTTTAAAGGGGAAAATGTTTGTAAGTAACTAATATCTTGATATTTTGTGTACCGATGTATACTTTTCTTTAATTTGCATGTACTTCGCTTTTTTTTTTCTTCTTCAGCCAATCCTATATGTCCAACAAACATTTCGATATCAAGTGATGAGAACGTGACAACAACCGATGTCATCTGGAGCTATCCTAGCGAAAATCGCATTGACCTTTTCCCTTTGACCTCTAATCCGCTGAACGGGACAACCTTTGACCTTGGTGTGACTGACGTCACCTTATCCCTCACAGATTATCCGGAATACAGGTGTACTTTCATTGTGGAAGTGAAAGGTGATTATTTTTTTAACAATATTTCTTATTACGACACCTATGTGTGTACATTGTATAAGAAAATATTAACTAACAGGTAGATTATCCATTGCCCCGAGACCACATCAGAAGGTACATGTAGTCTGAGATAAATACATTTTTTGTGCGGTATCAATAAGAATCCAATAACGAACTTGGACATATATTTGCATGTGATTACATAATACTAGGTCGAACTCTCTGCTTGATATTTCTATAAGTGTCTTGCTGTGTCTGTATGTCTCTCTTTCCCTCTATCTCTCTCAGATGAGCAACCACCTCGGCTGACATGCCCAGAAAACCTTGATGTGAACAACTCTGCAGTGGCCATCTGGGATGTCCCTATGTCTTTGGATAACTCTGGAAGCGTTCTTCTGAGCTCCAGCCACACACCAGGAAGTTATTTCCCGTTCAATACAACTACCGAGATCACCTATACCGCGGCGGATAGCAGCGGGAACACAATCTCTTGCTCGTTCAATCTGACCGTCGTCCGTAAGCAAAATTATTTGCATTTTTTAGCAAATCGTTACAAGTTGCAGAACACACGCCCGCACATCCACCCACTCACCCACACACACACACACACACACACACACACACACCCACACGCACACACACCCACACATACGCACACACACACCCACACACACATCACCGCCCGCCCGCGCACACAAGCTCCTACATTCTCACTCCTCCTCGTACACCCCCGCGCGCACACGCTTACACTATCGAATAAACTAATGAATAATTTTGTGGATAAATGGATTTGGGAGAAAGGGAGAACATGATCATAGTACTCTATCGTAAACACATACTCTTCATGAGAACATTTTCTCACTGTATCAATGCTTGATCAAAATACCGAGCATGGTGGAATTGTTATAAACTACCTGTATATGAATCTTTGGTAGCGAATACACCACTAGATAACAAATACAGCCACTCAGGAGTGGAACTCTTAATTGTATTAAAAAAGTACCCCCAAAATCACATACAATTTTTTTGCCGCACAAATTAAAGAAAAATACTGGTTCTGGAATTTGTAACTGTTGGAAGGCTATCCTCTAATTATAAGTCGGAGTCTTCTTGTACTTCCTGCTGCAGGAGATGGGTCGCCGGAGATCACGAACTGCCCCTCCGACTTGAGTAAGGCGGTACCCCCGGGTGTAAACGACACGACTGTAACCGAATTATGGACCCGAGAACCCACGGCCACGTCCCCATCGGGCGGCGATGTGACTGAATCCAGTAACTTCGATAGAACCTCGAGCTTTGGTATTGGTACTACCCGGGTAACCTTCACGTTCACAGATCAGGCTGGCTCCAGCTCCAAGTGTCGCTTCCTCGTCTCCATAACAAGTAAGGTGTAGACATCATAAAGCTAATGTTGGAATCAAAAGATCAGGGCCGGGTGATATAATTGTAAAATATCGGTAGTCCCATTGCTATTTTTGGTAATGGTAATAGGGATAATGGCAGTGGTAGTGGTAGTAGTTGGTGGTAGCTCGTGGAAATGACAGTTTAAGTTTGCAATGGTTGGGATAAATTGACTGGTTATGGCACTAAATTGTTGGATATCAGTACTGGTCTTGTACATGATTGTATTGGTATTGCTGTTGGTAATGGTATTGGTAATGGTATTTTATGAGTTACACCATCTTCCCATTATTGCATAGGGCCTACTGTTTATGTATTATATCATCTCCCCATTTCAATATAGGAGAACCTGACACAAATGCACCGTATGTTGACAACGGCGTAACATGCCCGTCGGATGTCATTCGGAACGCTCCGCCGGGAACGACAGAGATGCAAGTCATCTATGATGAGCCGACATTCAATGATGTCGTCGACGGGAAAGACATCAAGGTCACGACGACGAAAGAATCGGGTTCGGTGTTTAGTGCAGGAACGACCGAGGTTCTTTATGTGGCTACGGACAAGTCTTTTGAAATCAACCAATGCATTATAAGCGTAACGGTCGATGGTAAACGCAATAATAAGAAATTTTTAATTTTCTTTTCTTTTTATAGCCAGCCACATGCGGTTTTATTGAGATAAATACTTTTAAATGAATCAATCATACAAATACATACCTTTGACTCTGTTGATTAACATACCTTTTATTTGAGTCGATATATTCTGTTATCTCTGTTTTGAGATATTCAAGAGAGCGATATTATATTTCAAATTAAATCCGTTAGATTTGATAATTCGTCTCTATTTTCACGAAGTGACGGTATAGTGAATGAAAATCGCATACAATTTGCGTGCGGATTTTCCTCTACCGTCACTTCGTGAAAACAGGAACGAATTATTTCATGATTACCGTAATGCGAAGCTACAAACATAAGTTTAAAAGTATCATGATATTGCAAAATCTTGAAGAAAAAAAACACATCGTGGATTACAATTACAATGGCTTTGGAGTATATTTTTCTTACACAATGACAAACGGAGGGGGGGGGGAGCTGGAAAGTAGAGCTCGTGGTGTATATGCTAAAAGCTGGGGTGTAGCTGAATATGGTTGGCCATTGATTACAATTACAACTACACTTGTACTTGTACCAATAGCAATTGCAATTACAATTACGATTACAACAGTACTACAAATGCAATAATAATAATTGCAAATCGTCATTTCAAACTCTTGTGGATTTGGCAAAATCCAGCTTCAAGTTCTAGATGCAATGAAAAGTTTTGGGGAGAGATAATGGCATATATTGCTAAAATAATACCAAGCTTAATAGGACCATGAAGACGACTACATAGACAGCGTAGATTATGAGCATCCTAACATCACATGATGTAAACCATTGGAAGCATAATATAATTTTCAATAAATAAGTTCTTTCTCTTCCCCTTAATAATAATAATATTCAGCTTTTATATAGCGCTGAATACATCTCGGACGTCTCTAAGTGCTTTACAGATATACTATTACCCCGGTCATGGATTCAGAGCTTGCCCACACACACTGTGTGTACAATCTCCACTCCTTGGGGAGCATTCCAGCCAGGCTTTACTGGACGCTCAAAAACTGTTTGACCAACAATGAGTTTCCGGTTAACATGGTTTCGGTGATATATTAGATGTAAGACGTAGGCTGTTATTGATTTTCTTCTTTCCCCTAGTGACGGAAGACAACGAGGAACCAGTCATTATGGGTTGTCCAGGGAATATCACCCGTTGGGTGGGAGTAGGAGTCCCCTCTGTGGCGATCACCTGGACCAAGCCCAATGCCACCGACAACTTTGAAGTGGTATCGTTTAACTCCTCCCACGAGCCAGGTTCCATGTTCCCCATAGGAGTAACAAGAGTCAACTATACTGCAACGGATCTGGTCAACAAGCAAGATACCTGTGAATTTTACGTCACAGTTATAGGTAAATACTTTCATCATTTTCATCATAATCATCATCTTCAACGTCATTATCAACGTCATTATTGTCGTCATCGTCATTATCATCAGCATCGTTTTAAGTACCATCGCCATGATCAACATTATCACCATCATCATCATCATCCTTACAGGTATCCTCACCCTTAACAAAATTACCATCATCATCATTATCATGATACCCATGGCTGTCATTATTTCAAAACATGTGAAACAAACTTTGATGTAACTTGAATCTGATATTATCAACGTCATATTTTATGATCTCTAGCCTGTGTTGCGATCCGACACTCGACCATAATAGGAAGGAAAAAAAAGTAACGTCCTTTTTAAAAACATCGAATTGAGGGAGTATATTACACATCTGTTTGTGTTTGTTTAATTGCATCTGATAGTTGATACCGAGAGTCCGGTCATAATGAACTGCCCTAGTGACATCACCGAGTTCGTTGGTGAAACAGTGAACTCTTTGGAAGTGACGTGGGAGTCCCTAAATATCACGGACAACTCTGGTATGTACCTTGTGGATTCCAGCCGCCCATCCGGATACAATTTTCCAGCTGGGCCCATCCCTACCGATGTCACCATCAGTGTCGCAGACGAAGCCGGAAACTTGGCGAGGTGTAACTTTAGAGTAAGCATATCTGGTAAGACTTCTTCTTTTTATCCTCCTCAATAATTGTTTTGTTCTTCTTCTCCTTCACGTTTTTATTTCTCAATTCCTTCTTCTTTCCTTCATCTTCTTCTTCTTTTCCTAGTTTCTCCTTTTACTCCCCTTCTTCTCTCTTTTCTTCTCCTCTTTTCTCTAAGTGTTAAATTCTCCTTCTATACGTTTCCTTTTCCTTCTCCTTCTCCCTTCTTCTCCTTTTCCCTTCTTCTCCTTCTCCTTTTTCTTCTTCCTGTTTTCTTCTCTTTCATCTCCTCTTTCTTGTTTATTGTTTTATGGGATATTTACCTAAATATCACGGAAAAACCATGTTAACCATGCTCAATAATTATCATCTTGATTATAGCCGTATAAGAGCACACTCTTCCCATGCATACTATAAACAAGAAATTAAATCATTATGAGTATAACGATCGAGATAGACAGTACGTGTTGAAATGTGTTACGATCAAGGAGTGCAAGTGATGTAACCTCTCCGCCCCCACCCCATAGATACGTCATCGGTGATATTAGTTAACTCTTTCCTCCTCCCCTCCCCCATCCACACCACCCCCTTCTCACTCTCATTCTTTCATTCAAAATCCTTCTCCAGTCGATCCGGCGCCCGATCTCATGTGCCCTGAAATGCCCGTCAGTAATAGCACCACTCCTGGACAGTCTTATGCTGACATCTATTGGCTAAACGAGATAACAGTGACAGACAACACAATATTCATGGTAATTATTTGGTAACCGATTTATTTCTATCCATTTACCCATTTTATCATATCCCCTTGCCCCTTGGATCCTTTGCCCAGTTTCAAAAGAGTTTTTATTTGTGTAGCAGCCCATGGGAATAGGGATTGTTTCATACCTTTAATCACACCAACAGTATACCGAATGGACTAGAATCGATCTGTTTCGAATCAGTTTGGAGGTGATTTGGTGGTGGAGCTGAGTTATCTTCTTGTGAGGACTTCTAAGAAACAATTGCGTCGACTAAAACCAAAACGTTCTAATTATGAAGGAAAAAACAAACTATCATCCTCTAAAAAAACACAATTATTTTCACTATCTACTCATTTGCTATGCTCAACAAAAATTGTTTAGTATTTGCCACTTGCTTAAAACCACACATGCCTACACTAACGTTATCGTAGGATCAGTCTTAAATATTATAGGGGCACCCCTAAGGGGATCGGGGATGTTACCACCCCCACCCCCGCATCCCTTCCAATCAGTATTTACAACAATTAAATCTTAAAACTTGGTATATCATCATCGGTAATTCTTGTTCAGTCTGAAGATTGTCGTAAGCAAAAGCGACTTTTGCAAATTTGTCAGAACATTTTATTCCGAAGCCACCATATTTGAGAATTTTCAATGACGGCAAAAGACAAAGTTCGTTAGGGGACAGTGATTGTGCCCCCTCCCCTCTCAGAACCGCCCTTGGGATTTGTGGTTCTTTCAAGCACCAAAGAACATGACAATATCAAGGATATTTTATCATAATACCTTTTTAAAAAAATTACAAAAGTAAACCTTGCTCGGCTATTAACTAATTTGATATTAGCTAATCAATTTGATAATGCTCAAAAGGGATCATTGTATAGAGAAACTGATTTTTACTTAATTCATATTCAAGCATATCAATTAGATATTTAGTAACATGATTCGTATTTAAAGAGATATCATTTTTAATGTTAATGTCCAGTTAAGGACATTAACATATCAATTGAACATAAGTCGGTAATTGCAATATCATATTTCAATGGTAAACTTCCGTACCGTAAAGCCAAATATTTTTGCTTTCATTCAACTTTTTACCTCGAAGAAAACAATTGTTTTGATTTCATTATTTCCTCTAATTTTTCTAGTCTAACAGCACACATGAAAGCCCCCTTCGAGTTGAACTGAACTCACCCATGACCGTAGACTACAGGGTTGAAGACTTACGAGGAAACGTCAGATCATGCACTCTTCAAGTCGTCGCTAACGGTACGCCATTAAGGTTTAGAACCAGGCTTTTTCGATGCGATTTCGAGTACCCGTTGCCATCATTCACTGCATGAACTCATTTTTTTTTAAATTTTGCTAGTAATAATGTAGCCACAGATGATGATGATGATGATGATAATAATAATAATAATTAATAATAATAACCATCATCGTCAGATCATTATGATTACCCAGGAAGCCTCAACAGCCATGATCAAAGCTCTAACTGTATAGTGACGGCCTGGTATTCGAACCCTCACCACTTGGATAAGTTGGATTGAGAGTGAAGTTAATAAACCACTACAGCACACTATCTCAAATAGGCTCTAATAGGCTCCAAACTATTTGTAAACATGCTTGAACTATATCCTCCTGAAGTATTAGGGTCTCTCTGTGAACTTCTTAGCGTTAAAAACTCAGAAATACGGTAACAATCTTGAAAATCTCTGAAACCTTTATGCTTAAAGCCCCAGTCCCATATTAAGCCCCAGTCCCATATAAAGCCGGACCAGCACGGACGAGCACGGACCACTCCGGACCATCCCGGACCATGGTCTGGGGTGATCCGGGATGGTCCGGGATGTTTTGTTCAAAAAAAGAGTGATGCTTTTAAGCTACAGTCCCATATATGTCCCGGACCGTCCCGGACCATCCCGGACCCCATCCGGGGTGATCCGGGATTCGGTCCGTGTTGACACCGTGTTGGCACCGGGGTGGTCCTGGATGGTCCTGGATGGTCCTGGATGGTCCTGGATGGTCCTTGGCGGTCAATAACTCACTCCCGGACTGCCACGGATCAACACGGACCGCCCCGGCGCCACTACGGATGACCCCGGACCCAGCACGGTGGCTACACGGATCACCCCGGATCAAACTATTGTCCCGGACCGTCCCGGACCACCCCGGCAGTTTTTGACCGTCAAAAACATCCGGGGTCGACTCCCGGACCGCCCAGGACCATCCAGGACCATCCAGGACCACCCCGGTGCCAACACGGTGTCAACACGGACCGAATCCCGGATCACCCCGGATGGGGTCCGGGATGGTCCGGGACGGTCCGGGACGTATATGGGACTGTAGCTTAAAGCCGGACCAGCACGGACGAGCACGGACCACTCCGGACCATCCCGGACCATGGTCTGGGGTGATCCGGGATGGTCCGGGATGTTTTGTTCAAAAAAGTGTCATGCTTTAAAAGCTACAGTCCCATATACGTCCCGGACCGTCCCGGACCATCCCGGACCCCATCCGGGGTGATCCGGGATTCGGTCCGTGTTGACACCGTGTTGGCACCGGGGTGGTCCTGGATGGTCCTGGATGGTCCTGGGCGGTCCGGGAGTCGACCCCGGATGTTTTTGACGGTCAAAAACTGCCGGGGTGGTCCGGGACAATAGTTTGATCCGGGGTGATCCGTGTAGCCACCGTGCTGGGTCCGGGGTCATCCGTAGTGGCGCCGGGGCGGTCCGTGTTGATCCGTGGCAGTCCGGGAGTGAGTTATTGATCCCGGATCACCCCGGCGCCCCTACGGATGATCCCGGACCCAGCACGGTGTCAACACGGATCAACACGGATGATCCGTGTTGGCACCGTGTTGGCACCGGGGTGGTCCGGGACGGTCCGTGGCGGCTCCGTGCTGGGTCTGGAATGATCTGTACTGCTGCCGGGGCTATGCCCGGACGGTCCGGGGCGGTCCGTAGTGGTACCGTGTTGGGTCCGGGGAGACGGTTGGCGGTTGCGATTTTTTTAACAAAACATCCCGGACCATCCCGGATCACCCCAGACCATGGTCCGGGATGGTCCGGAGTGGTCCGTGCTCGTCCGTGCTGGTCCGGCTTTATATGGGACTGGGGCTTAAGCTACAGTCCCATATACGTCCCGGACCGTCCCTGACCATCCCGGACCCCATCCGGGGTGATCCGGGATTCGGTCCGTGTTGACACCGTGTTGGCACCGGGGTGGTCCTGGATGGTCCTGGATGGTCCTGGATGGTCCTGGATGGTCCTGGGCGGTCCGTAGTGGTACCGTGTTGGGTCCGGGGAGACGGTCGGCGGTTGCGATTTTTTTAACAAAACATCCCGGACCATCCCGGATCACCCCAGACCATGGTCCGGGATGGTCCGGAGTGGTCCGTGCTCGTCCGTGCTGGTCCGGCTTTATATGGGACTGGGGCTTTACCTGCCGTAAAGTGAACCTGAATTTGAGTTCGCGTTTTCTACAGAGTACAGTAACTGAAGTTACCTTTATTTCCCGCCTTCACACGAGGCGTCATTCCACTCCCGCCAATATTTGTGCCAACTGATAGTTCAATAATATTAATTTAGAATTCTTGCCGCAATGAGCACTGAGCAATAGGCCCACATAGATGTCATCCATAATGTTGAGTATATATTTATTTGTTTGTGTAAACATTGCAAAATGAACCGTGGGTTTATTGCCAGGCTTGTTTAGCGCAGTAAGCTGCAATAGAAATGGCATCTGGTATGCAACAGACACTGTAACTGTATAGATACATCATTCCTCAACTAAACCCGTGCATAAGATCGGGGCTCTACGTTTTTCCCCAAGTTCTGGATCAATAATTTCCTCATCTTTGTCAGCTGTGATATACCACAGCTCATGTCCGCGTATTCTAAAGTAAGTTAAACCCAACCCCTAATTATTCTCAGATGATGTTTCACGAAAGGAAAATTTAGATCTAGGTCGACTAAACTTTTTAAAACCTAGTGATTATTATTATCATTCATTTAGTTATCATTATTATTATTATTTTCAATACTCATGATTATCATTACACTTATAGTTATAACAGTAGTAATGAAAGTTTGTTTTTCTCTGTGGTTGTAGATACCGAGAAACCAGTGTGGACTCCATGCCCTGCAGACATAACCCGAGCAGCCGTCCCGGGGACCAATTCCGTTACGATTAGCTGGGACGCGCCGGGCGTGACGGACAACTCGGGCGAGACTCCTCTTGAAGTCAGCACCCCTCGGACACCTCAACTGTTTTCTGGAGGGACCCACACCATCGCTTACATAGCAGAGGATGGCGCGGGAAATAATGGCACCTGTCAATTTGTTGTGACAGTTACAGGTAGATCTATATATATTATGCAGACTTCTTTGTGAAAACAGCCATCTTAAGTCCTGCAACTCAGTGTAAATGAAGTAGTAGTTATATCAAATAAGCACTTCGACAATCTCCTTGAGAGCTGGATATACCCCCAACCATGCACCTCTCCGTATTATTACCGCCCTCAATCCACTAAAGATCGTTCGTAAGTCTATTCTTCGGAATAGAAGAGAATCGAGATTGCAAAATATTCCTAGTTATGCTTAGTGGACGACTCGTTTGATTTATTCAATCGCGATTTTCATTCTGGAACCAAGAGACAGTGCACGTTATTATAATTCCCCCATCCCAGCACATACCCACGTGATAATATAATTGCATTCTTTCACATGATACCTCCACATTACCTTTCTTTTTGTGGTGATGCTACGGCATGGCTGACATAGCAACTATTATGTTGGTATTGTATGGTTCATTGTAAACAGGTGAAGCTACATACCACTACATCTATTTAGCTCACTAATGATTGACAGATGATGTCACAAGATGGATGAGCTTTTAGGGTGGAAAATTATTTGTCTTAATATTTAAAAATCTATGAAATATATTTAGATGTTTGAATACCAAAATTTGAGTTGTATGCAGCCCTGCACATCAACAGGAATCAACAGGAATCAACTTATTTTTTTATACAATATTAAAAAAAAAAAAAAAAAAGGAATCAACTTATATTTAGATGTAACCCGACCTTTAAATGGTGCATAATGGATAAGTCACCGGACGACAGATAATAAAGCATAATACGGATTGGGCACTTTTCAAGAAACTAGTGTTATTACCATTGATATACATATTTTATCAAAACCAACACAAACGTCAGAGGTTCTCAATACACTTTACGTCATTACCTCTTATTACAACTAGTAAACAAAATTATTTCGTTCAATAACAGTCGATTCGGCTGTTCCTCAAATCTTGAACTGTCCACCGGATGGCCCTCTGGTCTTCTCGACCCCGGAAGGACAAGCCACCGCTATTGTGACCTGGGACACCATCACTGCAACCGATACTACGGATGGTAGCGTTCCTGTGAGTTCAAGGATCAATCCAGGGGATGAGCTCACCATTGGCAGGCATCTAGTGGAGTATGAAGCCACAGATACCAGCGGGAATGTGGCGACATGCTCATTTACGGTCGAAGTCAGGGGTAACTATGATATTTTTTGTAAAGTAGTAGTAAGGGAAGGAGGGGGTAACCGCCCTGCACCTTCATCAACATGGAAACGAAATAAAAATGTGCAAATTGCATAATTTTTTTATTAAACCATGTTAATATATAGTTATCCTAAAAACAAAATAGGGCAAAACTGAGGCATTCTATAAAAAACGTCTTTATGGTAAGCACCAAGTTGCCTCCCCTCCTTCTTTTTAACTCTTGTTCCAACAATAAGATATCCATGATATAGATATTTAATGTATCAGAATTGTCAGCTCTAAAATGTATTAAACTAGCCTGTTAGAATCTTCGTTACAGTCCTTAGTTCTACATGGCACCATGAGTTCTGTTCTGTTTTTAGAAATGCACGGGTGCGCTTTATCTGGGGTCGAAAAAAATGAACAAAATAATACTTCACGGACAAGCAAAAGATGAAACATAATGATCGAGCATGAGACCAGAGGAAAAGGAGTAATTTTATGTTGTATATTTTCCAAGACGCTGAGCCACCGACGATCACCGGTTGTCCTGATGATATCATCGCCTATGCGCTTCCACAACGAGCGCAGACCCCTGTGTCGTGGACCACGGAAGCTACAGCGACAGATAACTCAGGATCAGTGACGGTCTTCAGTAATCCAGAATCAGGCTCGCTCTTCACTGTCGGTCAATCAACCCAGGTGCTATACTCAGCGAGAGATCCATCACTAAACGAAGCCGGGAATCCGTGTAGCTTCACCGTCACTGTACAGACAGCAGGTATGTTCCTCCAGGTATGTTCCTCCGTGGGGATGCTTCACAAAGATCCTAGGTTGAACTTATCGCTAAGTTGGACTTAACAATTATGGAAAGCCGTCAGAATCTTTGAAAATATTTTGTAAAAATTATTCTAAAAGGCATAAAATGTTGATTCAAATCATTCATATTTTCTAAAATCAAGGAGATTTCATGTTCTTGATGTGAAATTTATGAAAGGTCTTAAATACTTGAATTTTTGCTTTTAGATATATTTTATCTTAAGGCTACAAATGGCTCTCCATAATATTTAAGTCCAACTTAAAGTTAAGTTCGACTTAGTATCTTGGTGAAACACCCCAGGAGTGAACTGGTCATCATGGCCACGGGAAATTGGGTAGTTTTCCCCACTCCATATTTCGGCTTGAGGGCCGGTCCATTTTTGGTCTGAGAGCCGGTTGATCAAGATCAGTTTGTTTGAGTGGCCCAATTTCTGTCCTAGTCCGCCCTTATCTCATTACAAATAATATTACACCAGCAGATCCTTTTGGGGTGTAAGAGTGTGTGTGTGGGTGTGTGTGTGTGTGTGTGTGTATCGGGTTTTTACAGACAATCATATATGATTATTTACGTCTGGGGACCGACCTTTAAACGTCACTATCCGAAAGACGTGACTCAGTTCCGAACCTGCGTCCTCGGCTGAATCAGTTTGTAGCATCCATTGTTAGCTGAATTACAGGCGCACGCTACAACGCCTAGTTCGTCAAACCTTTTATTTGGAAAACGCCTTAGAAGAACCTGGAACCGTTACTGAAAAGAGCACCTAAAATGCTTGAACAATTTGAGCTGTATCTATAAAACCAGCAAAAGCCTATGGCAATTTCTAGCTTCCTCATGAAAGCAGGATATTTTTTCTGTGCATTAGCTTTCAATTTATCAGAGCCGAAGTATTTGCTTGATTTTTACCTCATACTTATGAGCAGTTGCTAGTTTTATCGATACAGCTAATATCAAGCGGCATAGAACGAACGTATTCCATTAAGAAACGTTGTTCAAACATTATTGTTCCAAGAAGTTTTACAGTTCAAACGTAAAATCTCCAATCAATATTTTGTTGTAAGCACTCTTATCTTATTGATAATTAGAACAATAATGTAATCTAGATTTATTTAGCGCTTAATACAGAATGCCGAACTACGACATTTGAATTTCGAGTTTAGTGCTTAAACCACTCGACTTCGACACTTCTACGAAATTAATAGAAATGAAATTTTGTATTATTTTCCCATTGTTCGTTGAAAAGGCTAGTCGAGCATCCTCCATTAGGTGTGTCGTAAGAGGTGGATCAAACACTTCTCTGGAGATGCGAAGCTCACGGGTTCGACACCCGGCATGGCACTTAAATGTTAATCCTTAAGCAAGATATTTTTATTTCAATTTCTCCTCTCCACCCAGGTGTCAAATGGGTACCTGATACGAAACTAAACTCGTTTCGGTATGTCCAGCATCATGCGCGCCTGCATGTAGAATGGCGCCTGGCCAGAATGCCCCCAAGGAATGCAATAGGCCTACTTTGTGTGCGGACAAGCCTGAATCTGATGACCGGGGTATCTTTAAAGTGCTTAGAGACATAGCAGATTTCTGGGCGTTACATAAACTACGGATGTTATTCTTCTTTTGATTTTTAATTTTTCTTCTACTAACTGTAGATTTGATCCGTATCAGAGGCTCGGTGACGCTTGATACGATTCGCGGGAATGGAATCTTTCTTGATCAGCAGACAGCTCGGGACACTTTGCAGGCTGATGTAAGATTCTTCTTTTATTTTCCTTTTTTCTTTTTTTTATAAATTAAAGCAGTACAAAGTTTTCTTAAAATCGAAATAAATCACTTTTCCTCCCTGAATTGGCACCCATTATCATCATCCATCCACTCCTACATATAATTAAAAGCGGTAGATTTAAATGAAATGAACCAATAGGAATAAAAATTACGAAATTCAACATACGAAAAATGCCAACTTGCATAGTGAAAAGTAGTTATTATTATATATTCTTTTAGTTAGACTTTAAAAAATTCAAGTGATTATTGCTCTTTTTGATTTTGCATAATGTGTAATTCTTAGCATTCTGGATCAAAAGATAATATGAAGAAAAAAAAGTCTCGAAAAGAAGACACTGAACTACTTTTGGATAAATAAATATATCGGCAAAGGCAGAGAGTTAATGAATTTATAATCAAAGAGCTTTTTGTTATCGTCCTCCTGTCTAGAAAGACACAATTAATGACTTATTTACGATAGAGAGGTAATAAGATGCCTATGTTACTCCAGTTTTTATGGAATAGTAAAGGCATATACAATAGATCAATTTTAAGTGTAACCTTAAAACACACTTATTCCAAATGGTAAGCCGATTAAAGGAACTCGGCGCTTATACGTGTGTCCCAAAGAGCATTAGGGACATAGTAATGTGTTATGCGATATACTAGAATGGTTTATTATTATTATCATTATCATCATCATCATCATTAATCAGGAGCGCCATGAGTGTCAAGTCTGACAGACATGAGCGCTATACAAGAATCCACTGTTATTATTATTATTAAAGAGAAATGAAAATCATATCTATTCGTCATAGCTGGCGACATTATTCCGGGGAACAAGCCTTGCTCCTGTCGACTTTGTGGATGTTGAGGTGCTGACTTCAGTAATAGTCTCGGAGAACGATCTCCGTGCTAGCTTCACTCTCTACTTTGCTCCAGACTCGCATCACAACGAAGAGGAAATCAAAGAAATCTTTTACAACGCGCTCGGGAACAGAGTTAGCTTCGCCAACGGGAATGTCATTGTACCAGATAGCTTCGATCTGAGTAAGTAGCATTTCAAATTGAATGGATGAACAGGAACATATATTTCAATTCCTTTTTACATAATTCCCCCCCCCCCGCATTAAAATTAAGCAGATCCTCTTTGAAATTCTTGTTGTATGCATCATGAATAAACGAAATGAAAAGAATATCTTCAGAAAAGACGAATCTTGATAAACGTATGTGTACCGGCCCTTTTTGAATTTCCTGTCACATGAAAATATGCATTTCCTAGTTCTCTACCGATGGGTGATTATATTTTTGTTTGATATTGATATCATTACTTATTTTTAACAAGATTTTACGAAATTTACCACTTTTTCCCAATCTTCATTTTCACTGGTAAATATTTAACTATATGCTCATTTTCTTATTATATATACTATTATCTGGTTTAATATTTTGTAGCCGTAACAGAATATCGTGGAGAGTTTACTCTCAGGAGCATCGTTCCAAATATTGACCTGGTAGACTTCACATCATGTTGCTCCGATCCGAATAGTGCAAGTTATCAAGCAGTCCTACAGACGATCTACAGCCATGTGAGTGGAAGAAAAATCAATCAAAGATAATGTGTTATTACTTGTCATTAAAGTAGACGAGCTTTAGTTTGGTGGATATATGCCGCCGGACTATATGGGTACGGGTTTAATATCCCTGCCGTAGCAATAAATGTCCTTTAGCAAAACATTAATTTAGTTTTGCCACACGCAACTGTCGAATGAGGAATATTGGTATCTGCATAGCAGGAATGAATTCTTTAAAATGCTAGAGCGCCATATGGCAGACATTTCTGTTTCATTCGAACAGTTTTTCTTATGGAAACCTGCCCTAAAATAACCTGTACCTAAAGACCACCTTTTCGCCTCCTTTGAGCAGTTTTCATATGCAGGTTGCACTTTATTTTTATCTTGCCAAAACATGGAGTTCATGATGTAACTTCAGCTACATGCTTGCCTACTTATTTTGGGGGGATGAAAATCCGGCAAATTATAGAAAAACAGCAATAGAAATGAAGCAATTCCTTTCTCAGTTTTGTTTTAAACGTTGATTGTAAAGCAAATTAATAAAGACCCCCTTTCCACAAACTCGGTCATTTTATCTACTTATGGCAATATAACCAGCGTATCATAAATATATAATTGTTTCAACTTTCTGTCTATTTTGTCATCTGATCAGTTTACTGCTACATTTGGGAGTATGTCTCTCATTCTAATGACGCGTATCCTGCCGCTTCGAGAAGGGAGCATCATAGTCCCATACACGCTAACATTTGATGGGTTTACATCAGTAACCCTAAACGACATAGTGACTGCTTTCAACGCTACAGTCCAGGAACCGACTAGGGAGCTCTCCCAAACCGATCTCTTTCTCGCCCTGACTAGTGATGGTGGAATTGGTGATACGGTTGGTAAGTCTGAACATGTATATCTGGATATAGCGGCATATCTATGATTGGGAAAAGCACAACAAACACGATTTTTAAGTGTTGATTATTACACTTGTATATAATCATATCTGATCATTGATCAATATAACGTCTGTAAAAGTACAGTTATGCACACTCACTTAAGCTTATCTGTGGTTCATTCTGTACTGTCTTTTGACTTGGTTTTTATTCATGTTTGTACCTACTTTCCTGTTTTTGTCTTTCTTCAATGCAGGGATATGTCCAGCTGGCTACTGTAGCAATGGAGGTACTTGTAATGTCGCTACAGCAGACACGTATGCCTTCGAATGCAGGTATACCTCCCATTTCGTAGAATTAAACACATTTACAACATAAGATCTTACAAATAAACCAATTTCATATTAATGCATGGCAGTTATATCTCATGTGCTTAGTGATTAATATTCCATTATCTTCTTTCGTGTTATTGTATTTCAAGTGCCAAAGCGGGTGAAATGAAGGCCAATTGCCTGGCCCGATTTGACTCGATGTCTTGAACATGAACATAAAGCTCTTTCGAGTTGTTTCTTTAGTATCACGAAATTAAATCTTATTCTAGCGTTGAAGGAAACATAATTCTTATCAATTTTATAAGCATATACAAATATCATTACAATATATTATATTACAATGTTATTGATTTGCTTTCAAACCTCTGATATTCCTGATATAAAGCACAAACATAACCTGTTCTATATCTGAAGTATGTTATGCATTCTTGATAGCATAACCAATCATCCTTATAACCGTTCAATAATCTGATGTTGATCAAATAGTTTACATCTACTTTAGATATCACCTTATTCAATTTCATTGATCTTGATTGCGGTAGTTTATGCATTATGAACTATTGCATTTATGTTTTGATTTTTGTCGTCTTTCCAAAACAGTTGTCAGTCTGGGTTTACAGGAGATCAGTGTCAAAATATGAGAAGTAAGTTTACACTGATGTCATCCGATGGAGATTTTCTCTTAGACTCTTATTAAACTTTCGTGGTTGGAAATTTTAATTTTATTGTGATAATGACAATTGGTCTTTCATTATCGCAGCAGATAAAATGCTTTACCTGGGGGGTGTTTCACAAAGATCTTAAGTAGAACTTAACACTAAGTTGGACTTAAAAATTATGGAAAGCCATTAGCATCTTTGAAAATATTTTGTAAAAGTTATTTTGAAAGGCATTAATTGTTTATTCAAATCATTCATATTGTCTATCATCAAGGAGATTTCATGTTCTGGATGTTGAATTTATAAAAAGTCTAAAGTTGAATTTCTGCTTTTGAATATATTTAATTTTAAGACTCCAATGGCTGTCCATAATTTTTAAGTCCAAGTAGACACTTACATTATACGATTTTAGGCAAAATCTTTTCATTATTAAAATCAACTTGGTGTGACTTGATTTTTGATAAATTTCTAAATGTCTTGTTCTCTGAAATCCGTATAAATATAGTTGGTTCTGAATGAAGAATAAATAAAGATGATATTTTTCTACTGGTGGCAGTTTTATGTTTCTTATAGCCGACATAGATCATTAATTAAAATTATAATTCAAATATTCATTTATTTCCAAAGTCGGTGCATCGGTCAATCAAAGAAGATGCCACACATTCTAAAATGATCTAAACATCGATACTAACATGATTCAAATTATATTGGCAGAAAAAGACATATCAGACTTTCTTTTAAATAGTGATTGGCTTGAAGCTTGTCGTGGATAGACCATGGTTGTTAGTTCTTGTCCGGTACGTCACTGTTTCTAACAAGATAGCAACTACTTTCCAAAAAACAACCTTATAAGCAATTCAACAGCCTTGTGCGTCACCTATTGAAATGTGCCTTATGTGCGAGCATGACAATGACATTATTATAATGTTATCCGAACATGATTTCAATGGGGCATACAATAGGGTATTGAAATTACCCTTAATTTGTATTCTTCTTCTTCAAAAACAGTGTTTTGTGTTAATACCATAATTCTTCTACGACCACCATGTAACAGTGTTTTCTGTTCATAATACAATCTTTTAAGACCACCGTGCAATAGTGTTTTCTGTTCATAATACAATTCTTTTAAGACCACCATGCAATAGTGTTTTCTGTTCGTAATACAATTCTTTTAAGACCACCATGCAATAGCGTTTTCTGTTCATAATGCAATTCTTCTTTACGACCACCTTGCAGGCCCGCTGAGCACGGTTGAGATCATCGGTATCTTCCTTGGTGTGATGGGTTTGATCCTCATTCTCCTGGTCATCTGTTGCTGCTGTCTGTGGTTGATGGGTGCGAGGTCGAGAATGCCTGCTGATGAGGAGTACCTCGTGGACAAAGCACCCCATCCCAGCATGCTCATGCTGCCGATGGTGAAGAAAACGATCCCTACTTACACCCTATACAAATTACTGTTGCATTTGAAATCCCGCTGAATTTTGCCATTTTTTTTTGGGGGGGGGGGGCGGGAAAACGAATAGTTAACTTTTTGCCGGGAAAAAAGTGAACTATTCGTGACGTCAGCAATACAAAATGAACTATTCTAATGTTTTCGGCAGGAAACGTCTTTATAGTAAAGCAGCTATTCTTTTTCTTGTTGTGTACACTCCTAATGCAACAATCTTACGATAAGGGATATAATGATTGTTGTATAATAATGCCTCTTGTGACACTCTTCGAGGGGTGCTCTTTTTCACTCATATGATGATAAAAGTACAACAAGAATCTTAATTGCGCTGTTTGCTATATAAAAGAATATAACAAACTAAACTCATCACAGTGAACCTATCAATATCGAACTACAGGAAATTAGATCATCCTTTAGTACCCGTTTTTCCCATTACTAAATCCCCATCCCATCACGATAAAACGTAAATCTAAATCACAGTTCACGGTATCCGTGATATGGCGTTATTAGAGTACAAGAATCTAGATTGTTGTTTGATATTATACCATTCTAAATTATAAACATGTTTAAACAACTACTTTAGCTTGATTGCCTAAAACCTAATAATTCTGTCTCCTCATAAGTGATTTAAGTTTCAAGTGAAATGGCGTTAGTTGGAGGGAACTAAATTAACAAGACAAAGTGCAGAAATTTCGAAATGTTAAGGTTTAACTATAATTGTTGATAGCTCTATACGCTTAATTTAATGAACTTTACTTAGTCTTTGACGCAATTTCTTCTGCTCTTTACGACGCTAGGATGAAGATTATTACCGACCACCTCGTCGTCAGCGGCCAACCATCACCGAAATGCCCGAAGAACTAGACCCCCGACCATACAGACCTCCCACTCCGCCCTCTCCGCCCCCATCTTCATTTATGCACGATGATCCCTTCTTCGTACCACCCCCTCAACCATGGCAACCACCACGGCAACCACAACAACCAATGATCCTTCCTCCTCAACAGCAACAACGACGACGCCCAAGGAGTCCACCTCGACAACGGAGAGAACGACCACCGGGTTACTACGAATCCCGAGTACCAGGACCACCACCTCCGCAACTGTCTCGCCAGATCTTGGTGTTACCACCACAGGCTCCAAGATGGCACCGAATGAGGGTACATAGTAAACCATAATTATGTATAATGAAAATAATAATAGAAAAGATTAATTTTATTTGAAGCTAAATCCAAATGAAATTAAATGCTTAAGGCGCACTATTACAGAAAGATCGAAAAATGTTATGCACAAAAATACCAATTGAGTATAGGATACAACATAATGAAATGGGAAAAGAAGAAACGTTTAAAGATAATTGTGAGCCTAATCAAACCGACACTTTTCTGTAAAGTTTTTGAGCTAGTCTTCTATTGATCTGCTGGTTCTAATATCTCTTTAGGGAGAGCATTCCAAAGCAAAGATTATCCCCCTCTTTGTAAATATCTTTGGATTTTTTTCTGTAACTTGTATTATCTTCTTCTTCGTGTTCTTTATTTGATAGAATCGTATTGACCGGTATTTGCCGAAGCGAGGGCCGCGATTCCGCGGCAACCGTCAACCCGAACCACTATCATATCTTAATGAGGTACGTGCATCCATACATCAGTTCAAGATTCTTTTTAGACCCAGAGGGGCGTTATCTCTTTGTTGGGGCATTAAATATGAACTAACGTTCGTAAACACATTAATGGTTAGCTGAGTTGGAATATCTTTTCGTACCAATTATTGGAGCTAAAACTCGTTAACAATTTTCATCAAGCGAAATCATCCAAGCTCTCAACGTGTAATTCACGACTATTGTTTTTATATAAATCTAAAACAATCCAGCACATGTCAGGGCATTGCACTCCTGAATATGTTCTGTTTTCTGTAATGTGAAGTAAAATGAAACCAAAAAAATCAGAATATTTATATTTAAAGATATAATGCCTTTGAAGGAAAAAAGTGATACACGTATAAAAGTTGTATAAAAATACAGATATAATACCTGAATTACTCTAGTACCAGGAGCTCACTGATGTAATACTGTGGTACAGAAACTGAGTTGTAAAAAATATTCATCATTCATTCCCTCATAACCAAAATGTTTGTATCCTATGCTTTATACGTACAGCTACCACCCGGCTATGACCGGGGACCAATTCGTCGTAATGACCGGGCACCTGCTCCACAATTCAGAGGAGATTATGCTCCAGACCCGGTAGGATATTTCATTATTTCTTGGCATTCTTCCTTCTCTATAAATCGTGATCTTTATTTTATGATTCATTTAATTGAATTTATAAGAATTTGTTCTTTTTTCTCAATCCATGGTATATATATATATATATATATATATATATATATATATGTATATATAGAAACTGGTGTAAGAAAAAATTTGTACTATAGTATCCACAAATAATTGTATGAAATGGATAATATTTTATCTCTCACTTTATCTCTTTATTCTGTGTCCGTACATGTATTTGTATGACTTTTTGTGTATTAAAAAAGAAAAAGATATTTTCTATTATTTTTCTCAAATCAAATACACATTGCACAAATCATTCATGTGTATACATCTCTCTTACTCTCTCCCACACCACACAATTGTCTTTGCTTTTCTTTTCACGCTCTCTCTCTCTCGCTCTGCTTTTTCAATCTGTTCTTCTTTCTCTGTATCTATCCGCCTGGCTGTTTTCCCTTCCCCCTCTCCCTCTCTATATAGCTACCCGGCCAGTACCTTCAGGGTGGAGGACCAATCCGCAGGAATGGCTCAAGAAGGCCCGATTCTTCTCGAAAGAGAGGAAACCGTGTACCAGAAGAGGTAAGCAATCACTGACATGATTAGGCTATATCTTTGTTTTTCTCCATCACACTCTCTTCTTTTTGGTCTTTAGCTTTCATCTTTTCATCAAATCTCTCCTTTTCTTTAGTCCCATCCATCTCTTTTCTCCCTATCTCTCTCCCCTCTGCCCCCTTCTCTCTCTCTCTCTCTCTCTCTCTCAACCCCATTTTTCTCTGTTGATAATTTCTCACTCAAGTTCATTATCTCACCATAGTCATATCCTTTTTTTTGTTCTTGACAAAAATCATAGTTTTTTCTAATTTTTAAATTTATTATTTATTTTTAAAGGGGGGGGGGGGGTGTTTGTTTCTGAATATAAAAAAAACATGGCTAAACCATGAAGATATATGAGCACTTACAAAATGGAGAAATTATTTTAAGTCTGTGAATATCGAAACCGACATGTTAAAAACATAATTTCCTTTTTCTTTTGTTTATGCACAGGTTGGAGAAATGAAACAACGATTGTTCCATGAGTTCAACTATTAATTAAGGTTGATAACATATTTTAATACCCTGGCCTCATCTGAGTTTGCTTAGGGTTGTTGTTTACATTTAAGTAATTGAGAAATATATTTTATAAATATGATAGTATAAAACTAGTAAAAAAATGTATGGACATACATGTATTTCATCTTTAATTATCAAAAAATTATCCAATGATGTGGATAAATTAACTTGATTTGGTAGCACAGTAGAGTTTAGGGAAAGTTAAGTTTGTGTAAAAAGATCATAAGAACACTGAACTGTTTAAATCATGTTTAATAATATCTACACTTGTATATTACTATACGTCAGCTATACCAATGACCAACTACAGACCAAACAAACAATTAAAATTACCCCCTTTGGCCAAAAATCGGTCGATATGCATGAAGTGCGACTTCGAGTCGGTTGGGTGGGGTGACCGAGGTACTAACGATTTATTATTCGAGCTCACATTGAAATATTCATATTCTAAACATGGATTTTTTTTACAAGTAGTCTTTCAAATATATATATATATATATATATATATATATATATATATACATAATACATATCTACTTCATGATTATTAGACTGTATTCAACAATAAACATGCTTCAGAACATTTCTAGTCATTTGTAAACTCTTTGTAATGTAGCTTGTATTCAAATACGTCTCAAAACTGTAAAATTGCTATTCTATTGTTGATAAGTTAAGGCTAACCTACTTGTGTTGATTCCTCTTTTGAGATTGGTTTAGAATGCAGTTGTTAAAAATGATTTCAAATTAGACAATATTTGAATGTAAATTCTTCTGTTTCACAACATATGAATATCAGATATTCAATTTGTCTCAAATAAATGAATCCAGAAACCTGCTGTATGAAACATACATGTACACAATAAAAACATAAACTTAAATTCATTCAAATATACCAGAGTAAACTGCTGTTTTTTGTGATTTAATAAATGGCTAGTGTTGATGAAAAACCTAGAGCTGCACGCCCGTACCAACAAAATGTATTTTTGTGTTACAAGATACATATGTGAAGTGCAGTAAGTGCTCTTAAAATAAAGTACCCTTAAAAAAAACCTGCGGTAAACCACAGTGGGTTACTGCAACTTATGCGAACAAGCCTTTATGCTTTAGCCCAAGAAGTATCCTGATAATAAATTCAATACAATACAATAAATTCTCGCAATTTAAAGTTAATTCTGATTTATCAAGTGTCGCATACTGCCTGTATGATGAAGTGTGTTGGATGAACGCTTGATGAGGCCGATGACCCACACCTTCATGCTGACATTTGGGTTCCCCTTATGGTATTTGCACAGTCTCCCAAAGAGGTGATTAGATACGAGTTATAGTATCCTCTTATAAATATTCCATTGCAAAAAAACCCTGAAGTTTCCTGAATTTGATCAAGTGTTAGAGGTCATTATCAATAGTAACACACTGTTTCAAGCGAATGAGATGTTGATATCACTTGGACTACCCTCTTCAAGTTCTACATTTTTGAACAGTTTGAATGAAGTAGAGTCTCATAATCTTTTGGGGTAATTTAGGATGAACCCGATGTATCGTGATGGAGACTGTTTCTTAGCCAATAGTATTGATTTCATGAAGCAGTTGATTTGTCATGGCTCTGTGAAGCAGGTTGTCGGCTTCCTGACATCTCCATAGGTTGCAGACAAATATATGACCGTCGTCGCATTGGTTTTGTGAAACGACCCCCATATCATAAACCATATTGATATAGAAAACTTCTTCCAGCCATACTTCTCCCGACTTCTGGCATGCTGGGGGGTGTTTCACAAAGATCACAAGTTGAACTTATCTCTAAGTTGGACTTAACAATTATGGAAAGCTGTTAGCATCTATGAAAATATTTTGTAAAAGTTATTTTAAAAGGCATAAAGTGTTGATACAAATCGCTCATATTTTCTATTATCACAGAAATTTCATGTTCTTGATATGGAATTTATAAAAAGTCTAAAATACTTCAATTTTCGCTTTTGAATATACTTTATTTTGAGGCTACAAATGGCTCTCCATAGTTTTTAAGTCCAACTTAGAGTTAAGTTCGCCTTAGGATCTTTGTGAAACACCCCCCAGATCATAGTTCATATTGGTGATATTGATGGGTGTCTTTCACCAGAGACTTCCTGCAGCCTCCACACTCCTCCACTGCCCTACATCTACATCAAGGTGAACAAGTGGAAGCATTGGAACCTTCCAAGTGTCTCCCACCTTCATAGCTGCCAATCATCAGCATAACTATGGCTGCGTTTATGCTTGATTTTGAAGGCAGAATGAGCGATCTGAAACGCACATCGTAAATGCTCATCGTAATCGCAGTTCCACGGTGTACTGTTTATGCTCACTTCTCTGGCTCCTCCAGGCAATTCTCCCTGTGTGACCTTAATTGGCCTTGCAGCTGGATTCGCAACCTGCACTGTGCATGCTACATAGACCCACTAGAGGTCAGTGCGTTGACCCCATTTAAACGCGTTTACAAATTGTAAACGCATCTTTTTTGTGAGTTTACGATCGGCGATCGTGATCGCCGTTTTTCGGTGATTCTACAAAAGTGAGCATGGACGCAACCGTGTTTTAAACTAAACGCGTAACAGATGCCTGATTCTGGCCAGAAAAAGTTAAGCATAAACACACCCTATGTCACATCATCAGTAGAGAGGTGTCACAGCAGTCTGGAACAAGAAACAAATCATAGTCTACACTGATACTATGAACATCGTCTTTCATCCGAGACATTCCTCCGACTTCCTGCATGCTCGTGAAGACACTGAAGCAATAGCGCCCTCTAGGTGCTCACACATCGCTGTTCCAGAGCATCAGCTCATACAGGCAGGAGGTCGACACTCGAACCAGTGCCACTCCTTCACAGAAACAACTCCTTGAGCCATGGTTGCTCTTCTTTTTTCATCTCAAGAAGACAAATCCCAGGTATAGGCATCTCGTATCCAGCTGCCATAGCAACCCTTTACCTTGACGTGATTGGTCATTTCATCATCATCATCAGTAGCCTCCGCCTTTGGAATGCAGTCTCTTGGCAAAGGTCACCTCGGCACGATTCCTGATTCCAAAGCTGAAGACAAAGAAGAGAAATATTGAAAAATGATATTACATTTTCAATAAATGTCTTTCTCATGTACAATACATTACATACTTTCTCTCCTACCCCCAAACTACCATCCAAATAGTCATAATCATTCACTGTTTGAAATATAACATCTAATGTATTCAATCTTAAACACTAGACAAATAGAAGACACAACAAAGCTGGTCTTTCACAACAGTTATTATTACCCAGGATTTCAATGAGAACTTTTCATTATTTGTCCTAAATCATATTATCAAGATAAGGGGGGGGGGGGGGGGATAGAAAGAAATAGATCATTTTGTTCAGTAAAAAGGCATCAAAATACTTACTCTCTTATTTTCTTGTAATCATCAGTCAGCTTCTCACCCTCAAAACAAAGATAGTAACTCCTCCAGACGTATCGCCTTGAGAGATTCAGGAAAACAGAAGGAAATAATATTTAAATGTATTTTGAAATACATCAGCTACATCAATATATATCCCATCTCAGTCATTCATTGCAATCTTTGATGCTAGTTACAAAACTAATTTGAAGCACAATTTGTAATACAGGGATGCCAGTCAGTTTTACTCACTGGGCCTGTGAATGAAAGGAAGCCAGAACATGTTAAAGCCTCATATGTGTTGTACAATATAAAGCCTGAAAAAGCTTGAAATGGTAAGTTGTCAGGGCCTGAAATCAGGCAAAAGCCTGAAGACTGGCATCTCTGGTAATATCTTCCATTTTATCTCCTAATACAGTCATTAAAGGAAAAATTTACATAACAAATTAGAAAATTAAAAAGGACTGCCTTAAATCCCAGTAAATAGGTCTATAATTTTCGTCTCATTCCTTTTTCTTAAACTCCATTCTTAATCAGCCCCCTTGACTGTAATACACCATAAACTATGAAGCATTTTATCCTTTTTTTCCAAACACATTACTACATGTAGGAAATCTATTCCATACCAATATTCATCAACATCTTGTAAAGGTTTAAGGAACTCCAATCTTAAGTTTTATTTGGCATAATCAAAGTAGAAATTAGAGTGTAAGAACAAGGAAAACAATCTAAGGCGCTGAGAACATTTCCAATAAATATCATAAAACTAAAATCTAATGCAAGTCTACTTGAAAACTTGAATCGTTCAGTTTCCGTTCTCACCAGCTAATTTTCTTTTTGATTTCCTCTCGATCCTGCTTGAGCTCAAAGTACCTCTTGATTGCGCTCTTCAGATCCTGAACGGTTGCCGTCTGCATCACAACGACAGCTGTCAATCATGAAATGAAAAAATAAGGAATTGGTGAATGTGAGAAAAGGCAAAATACATCTTTACATATACATTGTAGATGTTGCCAAGAAACACCCTCCCCAAAGTGGTATCTTATATGAATAATTCATTGATCTCATTTGAGATTTTGGTATACAAACGTTTCTCTTTAGGGATTTTCTATAGAAAAGAATGTGCTTATAAATATGGGCAATTTATGCATCTTCTAATACTTTCAGAGCACTTTTACATTTCATTTCTAACCGTCTAACCGTCCATGTAAGCAACAATCTGATATACCAAAACGGTGATGTCTTTTGTTTTCAGTCATAGGCATCTCAAAAATTCAATATTGTCCTTCAAACTTAAGTATCAAAAACATTTCAAAATGAAGTGCTGAGAAATTTTTGTCATCTTGGTTGTTATTTGAAATGAGGAAGTCATAAATAATAACACATCAAACTGTGATTTCCTGTGCCAAACTTTGTCAGGCTGTATGGTTTATTCAGTCACATTGGAGTGGTGACTCTAGCGCCCTCTTGCAGTACAAACATTATAGTCTCAATTAGATCACATAAACAGAATATTGTTACAAAATGTACCATGGTTGATGTGTAATGCAGAATACCACAGATGTAGTGAGGATAATGATTGCAGAGTCTTCAAATGTTTAAAACATTCAAATTAACTTGTTATAAACAGTGTTTATTATTAACCAGAAGTTTTACAAAGTGAAGAAATCCTGTTCAAACATATGATATTACATTATAAGAGTTGAAATATCTTAGCTAAATTCATTTTGGAATGAGTTTCTGGCTCCTGGGGAGTGTTTCACACAAGTATGTAAAGCCGTTAGCATCTATGAAAATATTTTGTAAAAGATATTTTATAGGGCATGAAATGTATATTCAAATCATTCATATTTTCTATTATCAAGGAGATTTCATGTTCTTGATGTGGAATAAATTCATAAAAATCTAAAATATTCAAATTTTCGCTTTTGAATACAGATTGCTCTCCATAACTTTTAAGTCCAACTTAGAGTTAAGTTCGACTTAGGATCTTTGTGTAACACCCCCCTGGTGATGTAATATAGGCACTCCCAAATAATTAAAAAACAGTTGACTTACGCATGACATCGCCTTCAGCTCTTCTGACAATCACCGTCATAGCCTGGCCATATTCCAGCGCGATCTGGAGGTTGACCTCTTCCGCACAAACATCCGGAGGAAGATCTTCGAGGAGGGGATCGTCAAGGATCTCACCGAGTTCCTTCCTGACGATCGCCATGGCGTCCACGTGAGAGAGAGGTTCTTCTGTTCCTGGTTGCCTTGGTGATGTAGGTGATGGTGGAAGAGGTATTGCTTGTGGATTTTCTTCCATTTTCTCTCTTGAATTGATCTTGCAGACCGTATTATCTGAAATATGAAAATTTACACATTGAATGAGTTTGAGAAAACTAGATAATAGACCCCCCCCCCCTCAAAGAAAAATAGTGAGTACATGCAGCTAGACCGAAGTTTCTGTCTCTTTCATTCGTTACCCTCTGATTTGGGTAGGGTTGGCTCCCGTCTGCTCCCGACCCTACCCAAATCAGAGGCCAATGAACAAAAGAGACATAAAAGGCCATAGTGAGCTTTGGTTGTGGGAGTCAACAGAAATTAAGAAATTCAAGCTAGAGAAGATTTGTAATATTTAAAATGACAAAGTAAAACAGGCTATAATATTGATAAGGATAGACTCCCCTATATAAGTTCCAGCATTCAACTTCAACAATTACAAGTTGCGTAGGCGTAGCGCAAAACAGATTAGTAATCAAAATTTACCAGACTGGCAAGCTCTTCATAGAACTATACTAAATAAAACAAACAAAAAATTGCAAATAAAGTAGTATCAATGGTCTACGCATAATAATACAGTCTATGCTGCACCCTTTTACTATTTAATTTCTTTCTTTGTCTGATGTTTATAATATGAATGCGGCGTTGATAATGATGAGCTTTGTTAAGCTTGAATCAACAAACAAAATTTAAAGTAACAAAATGACATTGTGAATGTCAGTCCTTATTCCTGAATTGCAGAAAGAAAGTCCGAGTCATAGAAACATTAACATTTAAACTCACTCGGACTGTAACGATGTCAATTAGTCTCTCAATCCTTCCGCAATCTGTAATGTCGATGTTTCAGCATAGCCAGGCTAGCACCAACGCTCTGCTGTCATGTCACGGAAATCGGTCGGGTGTTTGGCCGAAACTCTGGGGTGGATTGAGGCGAGTAGGTAGGTACCACCACAAAACTAGAAAGTCTCTCCACGCCGCTCCGTCTTGTATCCTAGTCTAACATCAGAGACATGTGACAGGTCTTTGCTATTATAACAACAAATTAAGTTATTTTGAGCATTAAATGAGTTGATAATAGACTTTTACAGAAACTGCATATATCAAAGGTTTATAACTATCTACTATTTTTATGTGAAATTGTTCATGTTGATAAGTTATACCGAATTAATTTGAATAATGATAACATGAGTAGAATGAAGTAAGACTATCACCCGAAAGTAAAATATTGCGCGCGCCATATGTAGCCGGTTTGTTATTGTTGTGTGTTGATTCTATGTAAATTAATGGACGAGCAAGCTCGAGCACCGTACCGCACGGCAGATGCATATGGATGTCGCCGGTCGCTATCCGCCATATATCTAGCACTTTACACGGAACTGAGTATGCAAGAAGAACTCACAGAAACAGCCGAGTCGCTCGCAGCTGGTAACTCTGTCCGGGACATATCGTTATTTCCAAGAACCAGTGAGCGGAAATTGTTTATTTTTCCCGTACATGGAGACAGATGATGGTACATTTTTGCTGAGGTGAGTCTTGACCCATCTGCCCATGTGATGAATATAGTTTAGGGGTGTGTTTCGTTACTGAGCTGAGTCCATATCCAAGAATAGATGTATCGTTGTGCTTTGTGTCCCTGGCGCTGGCTAGGCTGAGGCTGAACGACTTCAACAAGTGAGATTGTGAGTGGTGGGAATGCATTTCACCGTGTTCAAGATGACCTGAATTAATTTCAGTACCATATGAATTATTGATATCAATAACATTGTATCTAGACTAGTTATATTTACAAATTATAACTGTTGTGATTTTTGCTTCCTTGTTTCATGCATGCTGCTAGACAGCAATAACCATCTGATTTGGGTCATTTCTTTAATAAAACTGACATTTGTTGTCTAGTGGAGCCAGACGTAGTCTCAGTGGAACAACCGACGATTAGAGAGACTGAAGTTTTCGGTCTAGCATGCTGCATGCTACAGTAATCAGTTTAGCAGTTGTTTTTAAACATGTTGTGTTCGAGACATAAATAACTGTCTGGTTAAGCCTTTAAAGCCTAGATCTAGTAGGTGATGAAAGAGTCTATATGAAATATGATATCACCTCGTCTTAATTGGCACCCATACCCCTACGATGTCGGTTCCAGCTTGAATGTCAAGAGATGTGGTAAACACGTACAAATATGTTTTTGCGTTGCCAATTTGATACTAAATTTTCAATAATAGCAATTATATGATAATCAGAGTTTGCTAAATTCAGCGAACTTAGTGCCTATGCTTACTAAACTAGGTAAGGTAAGCATATACACCTGTATTAATCCACCAGGAGTGTCGAGCCATATCATTTTCTGATTCAAGATCAATATTTTATGGAATATATTCCTGAAGTGCCTTTATAATACGCTACATGTATCGGAATAAGATGTAAACAATCACATCTAAGGGCAACTAACTGCAAAATAAGTTATGTATTTGGGGCCCCGGCCTCGATGTCCGAAACTCGATATGAGTATATATTCAGGTAGCTCGCTTCCTGCATAGGCATTTAATGATGATGTGTTACCCATTTAAATATACACCTGTATAGCTGGAGGGGCTCATTTTTCCAAGCCTAGGGCTGATGCCCTGAATATCAACTTTCCAGTGTCTAAATTGTTTTCTTCCGAGTGAGCAAAGCAAGCGAGCCAAAAAAACATGCCACTTGATTGTGATAAAAATTTCTTGTCCTCAACATTAAAATACACTACATGAATAAGATGTAACAAAATCACATCAAAGGGCAGCTAACTGCTAAATACATTCTGAATTTTGGGGCCCCTCACTGTCTGAAACTCCATGCGAGAATAATCAGACACCTTGCTTCGATCCTGAATACGAGTTTAATGAGGTGCATAACTAACGCCCACTTCCTTCCCGAGATTTTTTGAAAACTACTAGTAGTCAAATCCTAGCAATTGATTTTGTGGACGTCTACATGTACATGTAGGCTTTTTCTTGCTTGCACAGGGTCAACCTACAATGTAGGAGCAATAGATCAAATAGTAAGATATCACCAAGTAGAGTCAAATGCTACATGTAGGTCTTGCTTTGTTAGACATGCAGGAAATTGAACAAAACGTGATTTGTTTACCAAGGCATCAAAGCATGCAGTATTCAAATTCATTCTCCAGATCATTGCAGAGAGTAAGGTGATCTAATCTTACTGACTATTAAAGCATTACCCTTGAAAATTCCCAGCTATCATAAGAGGATTTCGAGAAGAAAATAGTCAATGAATTGGCTGAAGTCAGATTTTTATTTTTCCTTTTGACGTAACGGTAAGCATTTGCAAATCTGGCAAGCATTTTTTTTTACAAGAATAAATCTCCTTTGCTTTAATGCTAAATGAAATCTGATTACAGTCTTTACAACTCTGAATAGAAAAAGATATCGTTATTGGCAAAAGCAACTGATAAAAAGAAAACAAATGCTTTGTTGGATATGAAGATGCAAGCAAAGGCCTAGAAAAAAAAGCTAGGCTATTGCTTTCATGAATTCTGCACATTGTAGGGCTTCACTTTACATACATGTAAGTGCTCCAAATCCAGTAATAAAATCCGGTATTAAAATGTAAGGAGCACATATAAAAAACTTTTATTCTTTATTTTGATACTCTCTGTCATAAGTGACATGATAACTGTAGCCTATAATCTAGGCGGAGTGCCGAGCTTTTTTCTTTGCTGCTAGACTAACCTTAAGCAGAACGTCTGATACGGCGAGACTACGAACCGTGAGCCGCGAAGCGGCTCACCGCCTATAATCACTGGTCGTATTCATGAGGATTTTTCGTACGAAAAACTGCCACAGATTCATGGTCGATAATAAAAAAACAACGACTAAAGCTAGACCAGTGATTATAGGCGGTGAGCCGCTCACGGTTCGTAGTCTCGCCGTATCAGACGTTCTGCTTAGGGTTAGTCTAGCAGCAAAGAAAAAAGCTCGGCACTCCGCCTAGATTATAGGCTATGATAACTGTAGATGCTTCGTTCTATTCAAGTGCATGTCATTAATAGAGATACAAACGTGGGTTATATTTTAGCACAGTATTAATAACTTATGCTTACGGTAGTTATAATTATGCAAGACATTCTACCTACAGTGAAACCTGTATATAAAGGTGGCTCACGGGAGACAATAAAAGCAGCCCTAATAGGCAGAATGTCTTTATGTGCAGGTCTTTTAGTACATGTTTTAATGAGAAACACTATTCAAGGGAAACAGAAATGTGGTCTTTATAGGCAGGGGTCTTTCTATAAAGGTGATCACTAAAGCAGGTTTCACAGAGAGGTGATGTTTCTGTTGAATACGTGTGTATTATTTGGAACAACTACCACCATGTACATGTAGCTAGCATATCCTTGATTTAGGCAAAACATTTCAACTACATTGCTCCTCAATGGAGTGAAGAAGGTGTAGTGTATGGAAAAGCAATTGATTCTAGCAGGCAGGGTGATATTATGTCCTAGACTTTATTGTCATTGTTGTCAGTTGTTTTCTATCCTATCTCTTCTTTTTTGTTGACCGATTTATGGCAGATTTTAATTTTGCCCACTTTAGGCAACCAATACATTTTCTGCTTTGACTCATTTGACTCACCTGCATTACTTTCTTTGTTGCGCTAGAAATTCAGGCAGCCACTTGAGCTCAACTTCAGCCCAGCATTATAAATAAGATATATACACTATACATTAATATGCTTTTACCGTATACTAGCTTGTGTAAGTCTGCATCATTTATTGTACTACCTTGATGGTATTCCTGTTCATTATACATGTGTTGGGCGAGTCCGTGAGCTGTGCCACAGTCATGTACAGGGTGTATGCACTTTTTCTATTTAGTTTCAGTTTGTCAAAAAATGCAAAGTCATTTGATATGACCATTAAATAATGTTAATGATGCCAGAAAGAACCATTAATCAATTGGCATATCAAATAATTTTTACTTTTGGATAGTAAAACTTTTAGAAAAATGAATGGAATTGAGTCATATGTTGTGCAGGACACATTGCACAGAATTGCCCTACCTATTATCATAAGAAATTTGATTAGGAATGCCCCAAACGCAGGTGTGAGATCATGAGTCAGTCCAACCCTCATTAGTGGTGCATGTTGTCTGATGACTCACGGTCTGTATCCCATTAAACAAGATCATAATAGACTCATGGCTCATTCAAACGTCAATGGACACTTCTGGTGTTGGGTGATTTTTTTTAAATCATGACATCTTCTTTTTACCTACAGTACACATGAATTGTTGTTGAAATTTTACAAGACGTAAAAGGAGGGGGAGGGGGAGGGGGAGGGGGAGGGGAGGGGAGGGGAGGGGAGGAGAGGGGAGGGGAGGGTAATGGGGATGGGGATGAGGAGGGGGGAGAGGAGGAGGAGGAGGAGGAGGAGTGAAAAGTTGAATGAACATTTTCAATGCTCCAAATTTTCGCTTGCCTAGGCACTTTTGGACATCTAACATCACAACTGACAACACCATCCCTATCCCTATCTGTAACCCTGATTTACCACCCACTCATAACCCTCCTAACTTTTACGTAGCTGGAGCACTTGTCAGATGGCTCTCAATTCATAGTTGATGTCTTCCTAACCCATCGCTACCTAAACCAAGTTGTCCCTGTATTAGACCTATAGAAAGGACAACATGTGGCAGTCAACTGGTTAATATGACAGACAAGCTGATGGATTATAAACCCTTTTAATGCTAGGAAATTTTCCTTGTACTGTGCTTACTGTGCAGTGTTGCAAGTGAAGCAAAAGCTATGTTTACTTGTAAAGGTCAAGGCGTGTCTTAACATAATATGTTATTCCAACTCTTTTACCATCTACCATAGATCTTAACCCAGTCAGGCACATGAGCCAGTACTGGTCGAAGATTGAAGCTCATTGGCAAATGACAGAAAAACATGCTTTCTTCTTCATGCCGTGGGTGGTAATTTGAGAATTAAGTTAGTTTTGACCCAGAAAAATGATTTTGCTTGTCATAACAGATCGAAAGATTGAGGAAGTGATTGGTTTAGTACTGCAAAAAGGTGGCTGATAAATA